TGGGAACCTCAGCCTAGGCAACAGCACCGTAGTGAGCTCCATCCTCCCGTATTCCAAGCTGGAAGAGCCCCAGCCTGAGGAGACGGTGAGCTAGGGTACCGGGCAGCTTGGGCGCCCTCAGCGTGTGAAGTGGTTGGCAGGGTGCAGACAGAAGCGCCCAATAAGAGGAGAGGAGAGGAGAGATGGTGCCGTAATGCAGACGCTCACCTTGGAAGAGTAGATGTGAGATGTGTTAGTTCAGAGGATTTGAACCTAAACCCCAGGGCTCACAAATGCTGCAGAGGAGCAGGAAGGTGAAAGCAAATGAATGAAGGGCCCAGTGAAGCACAGGCTGGACTGCAGGGCACAGGCTTTTAGAGGATTGGTGCACAGGTACAAGGGCTCAAGGGGGTGAATATCTTGATTTTTCAAAGTTTAAGTCTGGATTTTTCTGTGAAATGTCTTGATTTTGAAAGCATTCAGCAGGTTGAACCCCAACATCTCGGAGTCAAACTGGGCTTCAGAGCCATCAGTTTGACACCCTGCCCTATTCCAAGTTTCTTCCTCTCGCACAACAAACAGCAGAAAGAAAGGGCAGGGCAAGGACAGGGCTGTCCAGGACACTCTAATGGGGGAGGAGAGGGTATTAAAGCACAAATGCAGATTCCAAAGTTCTGTATTTTTCAAAATAAAGATCACACATTGTTTAGAGACAATCTACACAAGAGTTACAAAAAATAGTTGCCCAGGCATAAGCATACACAGGTTTGTTAATATTACACATATGGTTACAAGTGTGCTTGCAAAAAAGTTCATTGGAAATATACACAAGGCTCTGGAAATGTACACCGTGTAGTGTTACAATTCTATATTCAAACAAAGAAAATTGACAGTATGTTACATTCACTTACAAGTAGACAAAATGCAAAATACAGTTCATCTTCTGTACAAAAAGAAGGGCAATTCACACTTTACAGGTGAGGGGCTCTGATTGTAAGGAAAGTCGGGCAGGGCTGAACTTTTGCACGTCCTTTGACTGTCACAAAATAAGCAAACATTACTTTTTAGGATTAAAAAAAAACACTAGTTTGAACCGAATCTTGAATATAACATTTAGAAAGAATCTCGCTATACTCTGACTAGATGACAAAAAAACCAAGCTATTTTTTTCTTTTTAAACATTAACTAGGCTGTATAAAAACATTTATTCCTTCAAAAGAAAAAAATTTACTTCTGGTTGAAATTACAATTTACAATATACAACACTATATGCTACGACCATAAAGGTGAGAATATACACTGAATGCACAGGGCTGGCTAATTCTCTTTTCTTACCAAAAAACGTGTTTATGTTGATTCAAACTTCTCCACATTACATTACAGGTAACAAATGTACAATTGTACAATCAAAAGTATGTTCGACTACTAGGGTACATTATAGATACAGATTAGACATCAAAACAAGAAAATACTACAAATTTGTATATATGCAAAGTCTACACCAAGTATACACTATATATTTATAGAAGCAAGACCAAAAGCAGAGTTGGATTTTTTTTCTCATGCTAAATAATCAGATTTGCGCTTTCAATGTTAATAGAAAAAAATCCAGTAGGCAGTAAACAGTCACACCCGCGCCGGCCTGAAACACAGTCTGGTGCTCACATCTCTCCTCACGAAACACTGCACTATCTATCTTCAGCAGAATACAGTCTCCCAAAAAAGCAATTTTTAGAAGTTTCATAAACTTAATGTCATAAACTGAAGCTTTAGCAACTCTGAAACATTTTTCATTATATATATATATATTTATATAAACAGCGTTAAATGCCAGTTTGGGGTCATTTAACTAAAATTCAAATTTTCAGGTTTTTTTTTTTGTTTTTGTTTTTACTAAAATGAGGAGGTGGGAAGAGCTATTTGCAAAACTTGCCGGCCAGGCAAATGAGTTAAAAACCTTTTTTTAAAATTTTTTAATTTTTTTTTGTTAAACCAAACACCCTTGAAAGTTTCCACACGTGGAATATAGATACAACAATGAACAAAATATGTGGCCTCCCATGTACATTGGTTACCTATGTACAAGTATCCTATACACCAGTAAAACAGCAGGGCAATTAGTCAATTAAAAAAAATAATTAGTACATGTTATGTGTAATAAAATTAAATTTACAAAGGCTTTTCCACTCATGGATTTGATTCCTTTTTTGGAGGAGGGAGTAATCCTGGAGCAACCATCTGCCCATTTCAGATTCTGCGCTAGAACGTTTCTGGTTGCTGGTTGGATCTGCCAGTGGGCCAGTGAGGTCAGCGGGAATGAAGGAACAGGTGGCACTGCCTCAGATAATACCATTAGGGGGGCCGCAGATAGGCCCTAAGTCAACGCCATTCTTCATGTAGTATTTCTCCAGCTTGGCCAGAATGTGCTTGCCGTAGGTGTACTTGCGCAGGGTCGCGATGTGGGGCCGGATCTGAGGAGAAGGACAGTCTGTGTTACGCTGGCCTGAGAAGAGACCTGTGCAGGCTACCGGACACTGTGCCACAGGCACACAAACGCACTCCACAGCAACCCCTTTCCACTGGTTCGGCCAAGTCCCCAGGATTCTAGCACTTTATCAACCCATCAGGTGTGGACAGTAGCCCCTGTTCCGAGTGCTGCACAGGACCTGAGGCTCTGGAGGCTGGGCAGCAACAGGACAGCAACACTCCCTGGACAGCACATGGAAAAAGTGTATCCTGACAAAGCACACTGCCCACCACCTGCCAGTTGCCCAGCGCTTCCCTGTCAGCACACGTGCAGGTCCCTCTGGCCCACACACAACACCCAGGCTCTCCTGAGCAGGGGGCACTTATTTCGGGGCACCATGAATCCTAAGCCTGTCGTCTAACCCTGCCTCCCCCAGGTCACAGTGCATCACAGAAAGCTAATAATAAGAACAATAAACATGATGAACATGCGCAAGCCGGGTGTGATTATCCCATTTATTAATGAAAAAAGGCAGGCAGAGTAGTTACGTCACTCAGCCAAAGTCAAACGGTCAACAGGGATAGCAGAGGTGTGTGAGCCCAAACTGTCTGGCTCCTCCAGAAACTGTATTTCCCTCTACTGTGCTCTCATGGCGCGCCTACCATGCCTGTCTCATCCCGCACCGTCACCAGCCTAAGCTCCGGCTCACCTCTACAAGCACTCTCTTCCACTCTCCCCTACCTGGGCTGACCCACGTCAGGAAGCCGTATGCATCCCAGACAACTCAAAGAAGTGCTTCCTCTCTGGAAGCCCCTTTGCTCTTTTGTAAGCTCACGGACCATTCTACAGACATCAACTGTGTTTGCAATGTTTTGCTCAACTATCAATCTTTCCACACAGACAGTTAAGGACCATGGTTTATCAACCTGTTTCCCCATCCAAACTGACACTTGCATACTCAAACACACTAGACAAATGTACCAGGGCAGATGAACAAACACTCTCTAGACTGAGAGCTCCATGAAAGCAAGAATTTTTGTCTGTGTAGCTATAAGCTTAAAGCAAGTAAGGGTCAACAGATCTAAAAACCATTTACGCATCCCACACAGGACACAGACCCATATCGGATATTACATTCCCACCTAAGAGCCCACACAAGAAACTGACATAACAGATAGTCCTTGGTTCTAATTCTGAGCTGTGTGAACCAGATAACTTGCCTGATCTCCCTTAAACTCATCTGTAAAACAGAATGCAAAAATCCTACAGTTCTCATTTGGGCTGCAGTAAAGACCATGCACCTAGTGAAATGTTTTTATCAGTAGAACTTGAGGCTCAGGATCCCTCGCTTTTGGTAGCTCTCCTAAAAAATAAAGTGAAATCCAATTCATTCTTTTGGGACTGGCTGGCTGATGATCCAGGCACTTAATTCTCTTCCAGAGTCAACAATGTAAAACAAAAACACCAAACAAGCTACACACATACGCACAAAAAATACTGCTGAGCTCCAATTTTTATCTGATTTAACCAGAGGTGACCCTGCTCCTCTCCCAATGTTCCCTGTTGCTGAAAAGGCCAACAAGTGATAAAAGACCTGAAAAACCAAGAGGGACTCTGAGAACTCTTCCTCCTTCAACTTCCTCAGTCAGCGAACTGCCACACCCTGCTGACTCCAGCTGCCTGCTCTGCCCACTTCTCATCCATCATCTTGTGCTGGCTTTACTATTTTAACAGCCTCCCCTCCTCCTCTGATGACTGTCCATGCCACAGCCAGGACAGCCATGTGAAATGGATGTGTGCTTTTGTAACCACACTCCTGCCCTACTGAACCTGCTTTTACTTCTTAAATATGGAGTCTTGTCTCCTGCTTCCAAGTCTTTATACACCATGTTCCCTCTTCTGGAAAGGCTCAATGCTTTATTCAAATGACATTCCCTTGGGAGCATTCTCTGTACCCCATGTTAGCAGAGGTACCCTGCCACATTCTTGCATGCCTCCCCATATTCCCCAGCATCAATGTAATCATCTGTGCACAATACTGCCATATTCACCAACACAACCCTGCTGAGAGCAGGTGCTACGAATATACGTTTAGTATCTGATGAATGAATGTATGAATGGATGGATGAGTTTTAACTCCTGCATATCTCTAACATTCCCTGTACTCGCCAGCATTTTGACCCATATATCTATGAAACTCACAACTTTAAGGACTTTGGACTCCCCCAGCCTTCAACTACCATCACCAACACCAGTGCAGTGGTTTAGTATGAATCAGAGGTGGCAGGTCTCTTGTCTGGCTCAGAACTTGAGTCCATAACAAAGATTCTCATTATTGAACTCTGTTCTCAGTGAGGGCAAGTGAGTCATCATTGCCAGACAATGGCCAACCAACCCCTCAAGGGAGAAGGGTTGAGTGAGGCTCAGGGCCCAAAAGCTGATGGTTCAGATAAGAAGTACCTCGAGGCTCACGGCACTGCCCAGCACAAACACGGCTGCAGCACACCCTGCCAGTGGGCTTGTTGGGCTCCCTGGGCTCTGCAGTCTGTGCAGTGTTGGCTGGACTCACTCCATGACTATTCCTTAAACCGTGGGCCTCTTTAGGTGGGTTCCGTCCCCTTTGCCCTAACTCCTGCTTAACCTTGTCTTTTCCTGCAAACCTGTCCCTTGGGGACTCTGGGCAGGTTGAGGGTCCCCTCCGCTGCCTTCCCTGATCGTCCCTGCACTCAGTGGGCAGGATCAGGTCTTAGTCATCTCTGTGCTGCCGGTGTCTGGCACAGAGTGGGCTTCAGGTCCATGTGTGCCAGGCCATGCTCTGCAATGGGCAGGCCCTTGTTCACTAAATGTTGGTGAAAAGAATAAGAGAAAGGAGGGAGAAAAGTAAACAAGGCAAATAGGTTGATTTGTTGGACTGATATGCTGATCCCTTAGAGATCAGTGAGGAAAATATGTCACAAAAACTGAGCTTAAGACTTTCATGCCAGTGCGTTATTGATAGGGGAGAGGAAGCAAACATGTGGCGAAAATGGTGACTCCACTGACCACCCTCTTCTGTGTTTTGCACACTTTCTCTGAATGAGATCCTGTCCAGCCCCGCCTACCTTATGCATGACAATCTTCCTCTGGCCTGGCTCTGCCACGTCAATCATCTTCTGGACCACATAGTTGGCATACTGGTCCTTCATCATGGTGTATAAGGCACTGTGGGGACCGTCGTTCATGGTGCATACCTCATCGATGAGCATAGCGCGCTCCGTACGTGAGGCGTGAGTGACACACTTCTCCACAACATTGCTGTAATGAGACAAATCTGAGCCAACTCTCAGAAGAGGGTCCCCTGGTAAGCTGTGCTTGTCTAGCCTCTGCCCTGACCTTAGGATCAGCAGCAAGAGAGAGGGAACATTTGTGGAAAATTAATCTGTCGACTGTTTGGCTCTGTAAGACTCTCCACCTGTGCTATCTGAGGTATACAGCTGTAAATCATATCTGAGATCAGGTTTTCAAGGATATGGGACACAACCCTGTAACAGGTGAGGGTTAACAAGCCTGGGTAAGTAAAGAGACTTAAACACAAGCTTCATAGGACTGGTTAACAGCCCAGTTGGTTAATGAGTATTATTTCAACAAAATCTATAAATTCCTTCCTCACCTCTGAGAGCTTACTGAGCCCAGGAACAAATCTTACCCATGCCTATTTCCCTGCGGCCAAGCATGCAGCTGGGTGCCTATGAGAGGCTCTACAGACTTAATTAAGCCCCGGACCACAGTGCTTTGGTCAACTACTACATGCTCCCTCTTAGGAATATAAGGATAGGAAGAACCCTAAGGTCTGTCAGCATTTCTACATACTTCACAAATATTATCACCTTGGGAAAGGAAAACAGGAATGTGATTACATTAAACTGGAGTTTTCCTGCAGTCCGCGGGGACTGTAGAGGCTTGATTAAGTTATGCACCGCCATGCTAGCGGCTATTTGCCATCTAAGGGTGGCTACTCACTGATGTCTGGTTTTGTGAGACAGTACTACCTTGCATCTGTGACTGTGGGAGTGCGGCTGTGTGGTGTCAAAGAACAATGTATGTTATTTGTATTCGTGCTGTTGGAGCCAAGCCTACTATCTGACAGAGAGAACATCTGGTGGGTGGATGGGTGGCTGAGACTCTGCGGAGTTCATGACTGGGGAAAGGGCTGCTCTGAATCACAGAACCTAAAAGCAGAAAAGGAACTTGAGAGTCTAACTCTAGCTAATGCAGAATAACCTTTATGACAATCCTGGAAAATGGCCATTAAACCTCTGCTTAGAAATTTCCAATGATTTGAAGTAACTACTTTCTAGGGCAACCTACCTACCTAGGGCTATTAAACATTCTTCCTTATATTCGGAAGCAAAAATATGCTTTCCTGAAATTCCACTCACGTATCTTAATTTTGCCTTCTGGAGCTGAAAAAGGATGTGTATACCTACTTGGGTAGCACCTGAAGGCTGGGATAGTATCTTACTTTTTCTTCCAAAGGCCAGCCCTTTGGAAATTTGAATAGTCATCACAAATAGCCATCACCAAAATAATTCCCTATTCCAGAGGTTTTCAAACCAAGAGAAGGTACTGTTCAATGGAGCTCTGAAAGGACTCTCTCAGGGTTATTTGGTTTTGCGCAGTGGGCTTATGCTTTTATTTAGGAAACAACACAAAATTCTAGAGCTAAAATATTTAAGAACAACCAACCTACCAGACATTTCTTTAATATTCCTTCTTAAGATAGATAGATACATGCTGTATATAAAATCTAGTACGTGAATTTATCAAGTCTAATTGAGACAATAGCTTTTTCCCTCTGATACAGCAGTATGAGAAAATGTTTCTTCCCACCTTCCTTCCAGAGTACTATACAATTTAAGCACAGGGTAAAGGTGTGGCACTGTGGAAACCAACCTCCCAGGAGCCACTGGCTTCTTCCTTAGCAGAAACGGGAGTTAAGGTATTGCTGAGCTGGTTCAGAGAGCATGAAGCTAATGACCATCTCCAAATGCTCAGGCAGAGAACGCATCACTTTTCAGGACTGCTCAGCTGAGTTGTACCTTAATCTACTTCAGCCCAGCCTCCCCTGCAAAGTGGTCAGGATTAGATAGGACTGTTTGCCAAGGGTAGGACAGGACATTCATTCTTGTGGGTGGAGGACTCGAACCTCAGCACTAACTTGCCTCCAAAGCAAGCAAGCAAGCAGGTTGATCAGCTATAGGGTCCCAACTGGCCAGAGCTTAATACACAACTCACACAGTTACAGTCTTCATTCTAGGGTTTCTGAAACTGGCTCTCAACCCATCTGTGAGTGGTGAAATCAATATAGTGATTTGTGACCGGCTTTCTTATTTTAAATGAAACAGAATAGCTAAGTATCAAGAGTTGATTGTGGGCCGAGCGCAGTGGCTCACGCCTGTAATACTAGCTCTCTGGGAGGCCAAGGTGGGCGGATCGTTTGAGCTCAGGAGTTCGAAACCAACCTGAGCAAGAGCAAGACCTCGTCTCTACTATAAATAGAAAGAAATTAATTGGCCAACTAACATATATAGAAAAAATTAGTCGCGCATGGTGGCGCATGCCTGTAGTCCCAGCTACTCGGGAGGCTGAGGCAGGAGGATCGCTTGAGCCCAGGAGATTGAGGTTGCTGTGAGCTAAGCTGACGCCACGGCACTCACTCTAGCCTGGGCAACAAAGTGAGACTCTGTCTCCAAAAAAAAAAAAAAAAGAGTTGATTGTGGGCAATACTGTTTCAGTGGTAGGGGTGCGCATATGTCTGTCTCTGTGTGTCAGGGCTAGGGGGTGTGGGTGTGGGTGTGTGGGTGTGTGGGTGTGTGCGTGCATACAGAGTCAATAATGAAAAATTTATTTTGTACTCTGGGTCATCAGCAAAAATGTCTGAAAGCCACTGATCTATTTTATTGGTTTATTTCTATTGTTCTAGTTTCAAGGTCATTGGCTCTTTCTTTTGTCATCGCTAATCTGCTATTAAGGCCATATAAGTGAATTTTATTTCAGATGTTTTATTTTTCTATCCTAAAATTTCCATTTTTAATACTAAAATTTATAATTCTCTAACATCTATTTTTTCACTCACTACAAGCATATTTTCCTTTATATCCTTGAGTATATTAAAATAGCTGCTTTACAATCCTCTATTAATTTCAACATCTGGGTCATCTCAGAACTACTCATTGATTTTTATTTCTTTATTTCCTGAGTACAGGTCACATTTTCCTGTTACTGAGACATCACGAAGACGCTATAGAAACTTACACTTCTGTTATGTCTCTCCAAAGAGAAGTATTCCCATCCCTTTTCATTGTGGTTAACTTGGCTGTAGTCAAACTTTATAAACTTCTTCCATGCAATGGGCAGCAGATGAAATCTCAGTTCAATTCTTTGAGCTTTAGTCAGGTTCTCTGAGTTTGCCCCATGTAAATGTAGTTCAGGGGTTGGTGCCGATATTTGGAGGTTTAAAAGGAGGCCTCCCCCCTTCTTTTTCAGGATTTCTCTCAGTCATGATTGCCCTAAACTCTGCCCTCTGGGAACACTGAGGACTTTTTACTTTTCTTTTAGAGACAGGATCTTGCTGTGTTGCTCAGGCTGGGGTGCAGTGGCGTGATCATAGCTCACTGTAACCTCAAACTCCCAGGCTCAAGTGATCCTCCTGCCTCAGTCTTCCAAGTAGTTGGCGGGACAGGCGCACACCACCATGTCCAGCTAATTTTTTTTTTTTTTTTGTAGAGACAGGGTCTCACTTTGTTGCCCAAGCTGGTCTTGAACTCCTGACCTCAAGTGATCCTCCTCCCTCAACCTTACTTTCTATCCCAGTTTTAGCTGCCCAGCATGGAGCAGACTGGAAAGTGCCCACAAGCTAAAAGCCATTAAAAATAGATAATTTCCCTAGTGCAATTCTCTTTTTCTAAATATCAACCCCCTGCCTCTCTATAGTATCCACCTGCTTTTGGGGCACTCTCCAGTGCCTTCAGGTAGTTCCTAGATTTTTGTCCACAGTTTATAGGTTATCAATGGAAAGGTGGGACCCATAGGCATTACCAGATCACAAATCTGTCATAATATTAATACTCATGCTGTATCCAAGGGAAAAATTACTCTGAACAAAAGTAAACAGGAGAGTGACCCAAGGAAGAAATCCAAGAGATTCTGACCCTGCTTCCCTGGTCCTAGCAACTGGTCACAAAACAAAAAACAAAAACCAACAATACAAGGTCTTAAGAGATGACCCTGATGTGGTTAGCTTATTAAGATACTGAATCTACAGGCACTTTTATTTCTTTTGTTTTCTATGCTGCAATGTTATAAGATTTCACAAATTAAAAATGAACAACTTAGGCTGGGCATGGTGTCTCAAGTCTATAATCCTAGCACTCTGGGAAGCCAAGGCGGGTGGATCGCTCAAGGTCAGGAGTATGAAACCAGCCTGGACCAAGAGTGAGACCCTGTCTCTACTAAAAATAGAAAGAAATTAATTGGACAACTAAAAAATATATAGAAAAAATTAGCCAGGCATGGTGGTGCATGCCTGTAGTCCCAGCTACTCGGGAGGCTGAGGCAGGAGGATCACTTGAGCCCAGGAGTCTGAGGTTGCTGTGAGCTAGGCTGACACCGTGGCACTCTAGCCCGGGCAACAGAGTTAGATTCTGACTCAATCAATCAATCAATCAATCAAGAACAATTTTAAAAAACATCAAGGTTGTATGAATCCTACCTGCCTTGCAATTTATTCTAAAGGACAGGGAAAAATATTCCAAAAATAGAAAGTACTGTATGTTGTGTGGGCATTAGGATATACAGAATCTTCTCTTAGAGGACAATGGATAATACCACTAACCCCCTGGAAGGGCCATCAATTTCTTCTCCAACCTCTGCTACTTGTAAGTTATCCAACAAACCTACCACAACGTGGGTATAACTAGCGCGTTTCACTCTTGAGCTTAACACAGTATGAAGACTGGAAAAGAGATTCTAAGAATACGAAGGCCTATTATAGATACGATAAACTGCCTCTCTTTTGGGCACCAAAAAGGAAACTGAATAAGTAATACCTCACAATTTCAAACAAGTTAGTTAATAATAAAAAATTCAGTTTGCCAAAGTTCAATACTTACATTATTTAGAAATATATTCCCCAGATTCCAAAATGACTGACTCTAGAGCAATAAGAAGCCCACTACGGGACTTCTAATTATTGATACCTTGTAGAACTATTTGACTTTATAAGCTACATATACTTTGAAAATAGTAAACATTTAAAAAAAGAAAAGAATGACAATTCAATCTTTCTCTCTATAGCTGAAATACTACTAATCCTCTCTTCTGGGAAGCAGTCCATGTAACTCAAAGGACATACCTTGCAAATTTGTGCTGACTCAATACAAGTACATTGCCTCGGATTTCTGCTACAATTTTGCTTTTGTCCTCAGGACGACCATGCTCCAATACATGTTGGATTACATAATTTCCATATTGATCCTGTTTGAGAAGCGACAATAGAAATAAAATTTATGTAAAAACCAATTCTGTGGGTTATGTAAGAACTTACATCTAATTAACACTTATCTTTCTTTTAGCACCATGATAGCTTATCTGAATACTAATGAACACACAACAATTTTCTAAATGGATAGGTAGTAACAACTTCTTATTACAAAACAGGAACACATTATTATTATTAAACAATGGAATGTTTCTATATATGTTTATACCCAAAAATCCTAGTTGGGTTCTTCATAAATTACTAGAAAAAGTAATACAAAGAAAGTAGGCATGTTTTATTTAAGCGGGGGGCATTATGGGAATAAAGTTATTTTTTTCCAAATATATGCACAAACAATTTACTACATCTATCTGTAACAGAGAAGAACTGGAAACATTTATGACCAACAAAACCGCCATATCTAATTATTTAATCAATGGTAGAAGCAGAGAAAGGATCAAAACCAGAAAGGGGGAAGGGGAAAAAAAAAAAAAAAAATCAACCAATCCATTTAGTTCATCTAACAATGTCATCAAGTGAGACACAAAGGGATTAAATGGCCTACCTAAAATGACATAGCTAGTCCATGACAGTTCTGGAAGCCAGATCTTCTGACTCCAATGCCAGGGATCTAGTCATTATTCATTAAGCATAAACAAGGCAAGCATAAACAAGGTTGCTATGAATGAAATCATGCCCAAAAGATTCAATGGGCATCTTAAACATATTAACCTCTTTTGGAATCTATGCTGACAAATACACCAACCCTGGGCCTGCACGAGCCCACAGATGTTTGCTGTTCACCAACTGGCAAGTCCACTACCTGTACAAGTTGTTCTGTGTGCTGGTGAAGCTCCTCTAAAATAGGGAGTGTCTGGTCAGGGAGACAGTGCTCCAGGATTCTCTGAATCACTCGGCAGCCATAAGGATGCGTGGACAAAGCAAATACCTAGGGCAGACAAATACAACAAAGAAAGGCAAAAAGGACAGTTGCCACTTTCAAAATGCCTCAGTATTGTTTATATATATTATCCCACTGAACTTCAAAAGTGAACTTAATGGCATTTAAGTTCTCTCTACAAAAATAAAGGGATGTGTGTATGTGTGTAAATAAACCCATTGCTTAACTATTTTGGGAATTCAAAGATGTGCATACATTAGAGCTGAAAAGGACTTTTTGAAAAAGCCTAAAAAGGAAGAGGGAATCAGTCAAGGTCATGAAAAACACAGTTAAGAGTGTCAACTGACAGTCTCTCCAAAGGATATGGTTAAAAATAGAAAATGGAAAGATTGGGATGAAATCCTGAATGCTTTCACATGGCCTCAATAACACAATACAGAACAATGAAATGTTCTGAATTTAATTGTGGTGTTTTTCAGCAATAAGAAAAGCTTCCTCTTTTGTTGGGTTTGGAGCAACAGAAAAAGCACATAAGCTTTAGATCCCATCTTGACATTGCCCTTCCTAGCTGAATGACACGTACCTCAGACCTGTATTTAAAAAGAAGAATAAGAGCAATAACAATAGCTGACACTTACTGGATGCTTACCAAGTGTCAGTCACTACACTGAATGCTTTACATATGATTTTATATATGTAGCCTTACATTTACAACAGTATGCTATATGATTCTACTTGAGTTTAGCTTTATAAAAATGCTACACTCATCATAGTCTAGAGCAACTTGACTTATTTCACCCAACATTATGTTTCCAATATTCACATGAAATACTGTGGATTTCTGTAGTTTATTCTGTGTAGGTGTTTAGAAAGCTGTTGCCTGAGTACACAAGATTTTTTTAAAAAATCCAATCCCCTGCTTACGGTCATGTGGATTGCTTAGTCTTTTCCTATCAGGGGAATAATGCTGTTTTAAACATGTCTAAAGTCTCATGGTATACAGGTACAGATGTTTCACCAGGTATAAACCTAGGATAGGAATGCTAGATCACAAAAAATATAAAGGTTGAAATTTGAAAGACAATACTAAATTATTTTCAAAAATGGCTGTGTATCAGACCCCACATTCCCGCCAGCACACAGCAACCAATGGGTAGAAAATGATCTATCGTTTGTGGCTTCGTTTTGCATTATACTTGATACTAATGGAATTTAGTATTTTTTTCAAATGTCTACTGGCAATTTGTGTTTCTCTTCTGAAATGTCGATTCGTGTTTTCAGTCCCATTTTTGCATCATGTTGTATTGTTCTTTTTGATTACAGAGGTTCTTTATATATTCTAGTTATCAATTCTTGAAAATATTCTCTCCTGGTGGCCAAATTGTTTTACCATTTTTAGTTATGCATTTCCATAAATGTAATACTTTAATTTTAAAGTAAACAGACCTACCCTTTTTAAATTAACTCGGAAACTCCCCATAACCAACTGGGATGCTGTCTGTAATCCACGTAACCATTTTGGTAATTGAGGTAATTATGGTAAATGAGGAAATTAAGGAACTCTAAATCACACATTTTAATCTAGGCTTAGCAGTACACACAACTAACACCTGAAAATCTATGGCTTTTTCCCATTTTTCCCCCCTTTCTAAAAACAAAAACCCAATTTCAGACACCCAAAAAGGGGGTATGTTTTAATCTCCTGTCTCATCCAATTTAGGAAGGTGTGAGGACACTTTTTTTAACAGAAGAAATTTAAAACTACAGCCAATTCAGAGGAAATTCTGGAAAAACCAAGGCATATAAAAGTACAACTCTGCTTGGAAGCTGCAGCTAAGAAAAGACTTTGGACATACAGGTAAATAGGATAAATTAGAAGCTATCTCTGGTTATGTGGCCACTTAATACAGTTCAAACTAACCCAACCCACATCTCCTCCAAAAAAATTAAGCAAAAAGTACCTTGTTATTTTAAAAGTATATTCACACATGACCTGCAAAAGACCTGAATTTTAAGAAGTGATAAAAATCTTGAATTATCAGAATAAATAGTACTTAACCATGGGAAAAAATTTAGTCTTCAAATATGAGATTTCATCTTAACAACTCTGATTGACAGTGTTTCATGTCACCATGAGAAGATATCTGCATTAATGATGCTGAGAAGGCCCATGGATGGTTAAGGGAAGAGACTTGGCAACAGAGCTAAGTACTTGACACCATTATAGAGGATTGCTTTTTACTGCAGTCTAAAATATGTCGAGCATGTTGAGAACATGCCACAAATCTTACTCGGTTCTCTCCTCACAAAGGAAACAATCATCAATTTGTTTCCACTATTTCTTTCCTAAGTCACTTACCTGCCCTTTAAACGCATCGATGATAAACTGCAAAGACTGCGGTTGTACACATTCAATACATTTCTGAACCACATGATTGCCATTTTGATCTTTCACACACTTCAAGACGTGGCCATCTAGCTCCCGAACCATCTCGTTCTATGGGAAACAAAGGAAGAAAGCACCACCAGAATCACAGCAAGCAAACACCTGGACAGTTGCTGTTTTCCTTACCAAACACAAAAGCACCAAACAGGGAATCTGTGATAATGAAAGTGGAACAACTTGACTGTGGCACAATGACAATGTGGCAACATGTGAGGACTTGAGTTTTTTCATGCGTTAGCAATTTATTAATACCATACAATAAAATTTACAACAAATTTACCCTAACAGTAAGTGGTATCCAAAAGGATCTAACTTGTAAAAGACTTCTTGGAGCTTTAAAAAATTATAGACATCTTCAAATATGATAGAAAGGAGCCCATTATCAAATACAGATGCTCCTTTATTTACAATGGGATTACATCCCAATAAACCCACTGTAAGCTAAAAATATTGTAAGTCAAAAATGCATTTAATACACCTAACCTATCAAAAATCATAGCTTAGCCTAGCCTACCTTAATGTGCTCAGAACATGTATATGAGCCTACAGTTGGACAAAATCATCTAACACATGGCCTATTCTATAATAAAAAAATTTATAAAAGATCAAAATGCAAAATTCGAAGTACAGTTTCTACTGAAGGTACATTGCTTTCAAACCATCATAAAGTAAAAAAAATTGTGTTGGATACTATCTGTACACTGTATTAAAGAACTTCATATGCAATTCATCATGTTTTTATTGACAACTCTGTGAGGTATGTATTACTAATAATGATAGTAGTTAATCGAGAGTTTAGGCTGGGCATGGTGATTCATGCCTGAAATCAAGCACTCTTGGGAGGCTAAGGCAGGATTTGTTTGAGCTCAGGAGTTCATGGCCATCCTGAGCAAGAGCGAGACCCCCATCTCTACAAAAAAAAAAAAAAAAACTTGGCTAGGCATCATGGTGCACACCTGTAGTCCCAGCTACTCAGGAGGGCTGGCGCAGGAGGACTGCTTGAGCCCAGGAGTTTGAGGTTGCAGTGAGCTATGATGATGCCTACCCCAGGGCAACTGAGTGAGATTCTGTCTCCAAAATAACAAAATAACAAAAACAGGCTGGGAGCAGTGGCTAACGCCTGTTATCCTAGCATTCTGGGAGGCAGAGGCGGGCGGATTGCTTGAGGTCAGGAGTTCAAAACCAGCCTGAACAAGAGCGAGACCCCGTCTCTACTAAAAATAGAAAGCAATTAATTGGCCAACTAAAAATATATAGAAAAAATTAGCTGGGCGTGGTGGCGCATGGCCAGCTACTTGGGAGGCTGAGGCAGTAGCACTGCTTGAGCCCAGGAGTTTGAGGTTGGCGTGAGCTAAGCTGACACCATAGCACTCCTGCCCGGGCAACAGAGTGAGACTCTGTCTCAAACAACAACAAACAAACAAATAAATAAATACATACATACATACATACATACATACATACATACATACATACAAAAAACCTAGGGTTTACCCTAAGTAAGGCATACCTCTAAAGTGCTTAACATGTTTTTAATTCACTGAATTCTCCTAACAATCCTAAGTTTTGGGAAAACTATTACAGACAGGGAAACTAAGACTTTTTCAAAGTCACAGATGTAGATTCAAATCTAAGCAACCTGTCCCCACCGTACAGTAAATCAGCGTGTTGGCAAACAGAACTGTTAACTATATATTTTCCTGTAGACTGCCTCTACTCATACATATGAAGAAACTGAGACTAAGAGGGGTTAATCACATATTTACAACTACAGATAGAAAGTGACAGAATCAAAATTCTAGCCCAGGCTGTGACTTCAACATCTATTCTATTTTCCTTGACTAATAGCCAGAAACTGAGGGTTTGTGTGTGCATAGGAAATGGGTGAAGATGAAAGGGAATATATAACAAGAAACACTGGGATTCTGACCAGAGCTCTTCCCCAAAACTCACTGCCTCAGGTCTTGGGTATACTAAAGTTAAATGCCTGCACCAAGGATGTGCCCCAGTACTTGCTGCCCAATTTCCTTATTGTCTCCAATCTCTGTATGTTAGCTCCACTGTGCTGACTCTGTATTTATGTTAGAAGACCACAAGTCACTTTAAAATAGTAATGTTAATGAATGTAATGTCTTAAATCCCTGAGCATGTCAAAGTAACTAAGATATCACCTAATTAAAGAAATTAAAGATTATAATGCCAGGAACAAAGAAAAAGCTAAGAGACGCTGTAAAGTTTCCTAAAGCAATCAATCAGATGTCAGAAAAGGATAGTTTTCTCTGGAAATGTAATTACGGGAATGATAACTACAGAATGATGCTTATGTAAAGGCAAGGAACACTATAAAGAAAATGAAGGGGAGATGGCTTCCCTAAATATTTTCTTAATGCAAAAGAAGTAAAAATTCCACTGAAAATAAGTTAACTGCCCCTTAATCAATAAATTTGCACCTAGAAAACAGTAAATTACCCATAGCAGGAAGAGTAATTCAGTCCCAGAACAAGACACCACATAACCCCCCCAAAAAATACACAGAAATATAAGATAGAAAAGAAAAACAGAGTGTGGAGGGAGGGAAAAGAGGTTAGTTTTTTGTTTTTTTTTTTTACAAAAAATCTATTATGATGTACCAACAAATTAGAAAACAGTACAATTTGAAAAGACAAAGACAAAACTCAACAATTTGCCACCTTCATGGGAGAAGGCAAGGATGGGAAAAAATGTATAAGAAACTGTCATACTTCTGCTTTCTTTAGGCAAGTGGGCATCACAGTAGAGAAAAGAGGCAGAAATGTCCATATTTAAAAGAACAAAGAAAATTACAGAGGCAAAATTTAACTATATATGACAATCTCAGGAAAAATTTAAATTGAAAATGATCTAAACATTATAAGAAAAATTAAAATATTGCACATCGGCTTATATTTACTTACAAACAACACTTTCTTATTAATGCTGCATGTCTAATAGTACTAAGCAATGAGAGAATGAACATGAAACCTATTGTGAGTCTCCAACAGTCCCTGTGCTCACCAGCATCTTGACCCATATATCTATGAAACTCACAACTTTAAGGACTTTGGACTCCCCCAGCCTTCAACTGCCATCACTAACACCAGCGCAGTTGGTTTGGTTTAGTATGAATCAGAGGTGGCAGGTCTCTTGTCTGGCTCAGAACTTGAGTCCGTAACAAAGATTCTCATTATTGAACTTTGTTCTCAGTGAGGGCAAGTGAGTCATCATTGCCAGACAATGGCCAACCAACCCCTCAAGGGAGAAGGGCTGAGTGAGCTCAGGGCCCAAAAGCTGAAGGTTCAGATAAGAAGTACCTCTATAGTCCTTTAGACAAGTTTGAGAAAAAAAAAAAAAGAAGTACCTCGAGGCTCAAGGCACTGCCTAGCACAAACACGGCTGCAGCACACCCTGCCAGTGGGTTTGTTCGGTTCCCTAGGCTCTGCAGTCTGTGCAGTGTTGGCTGCACTCACTCTGTAACTATTCCCAAAGCCGTGGGCCTCTTTTGGTGATGTCTGTGTCAGCTGCCCCAAACAAAGCACCTAAGTGGTCTAATTTCTGGCACCTTTGCCCCATCTAACTACTGTTTTTGTCTTGTCTTTTCCTGCAAGTCTGTCCCTCAGGGACTCTGGGCAGGTTGAGGGTCCCCTCTCAGTGCTCTCCGCTGCCCTCCCTGATCTTCCCCAGCAAACTTCACTCAGTGGGCAGGATCAGGTCTTAGTCATCTCTGTGCTGCCGGTGTCTAGCACAGAGTGGGCTTCAGGTCCATGTGCCAGGCCATGCTCTGCACTGGGCAGGCCCTTGTTCAGTAAATGTTAGTGAAATAATATGGGGTGGGGAGGGTGTGGGTGAAAGAAAATTGAAAGTGCATTGGAAGAAAGTTTGGTTTGTTGGAATGCTCAGTTCAGGTAGAAGAAAACAATAACTTATTTACATTTTATCTGCTTTAATTCTTGGCAAACAAAAAGATCCACCTATAAAATTGCACCTACTAAAGGCAAAGTTCTAGTCAAAGGGAAGACCATTGAAAACCACTGGTTTTCACAAAAAAAACACTGGATTTAACTATAGCATTACAAAATTAACTGCAAAGTTCATGTTTGCCATGCATAGAAAGGCAGCCATAAGCACCAAAGTAAAACTATAAAAGAAAACTGAAGACTGACAGATTTATAGCATTCACTACATGTACCATGGAGAAACACCAAACACCAAGAGAAAAGTTAAAGGGGAAACTTACAATTACCTGCTGGTCTGAGGGAATAAATTCAAGAGCTTTCTGGATAACACGGCAGCCATACATCTGTAATGCCAATGACAGGACATGGCCTCGAATTCGTTCTGCCAAAGCCAGCTTCTGTTCAAGGCTGCCAAACTAGACACAATGTGTGGGTGAACACCATTACTTAGGTAAAAGGAAAGAAACCAGAGAAAGTAAAGCATTCATTATTCTCTAACAACCATTAACATAACCTCTTTTAGCCCTGTTACCTATGATTAACTAAACCTTTTATTTAAAGAGGCTTTGTTGTAAGCCAGCAGTTTGCAGCCTCTAATAATGAGGAATACTTTTGAATGTTATAAAATGTCTTCAGATAGCCAACAGTAGTAGGTTCACTACCAGTATCTGCTAAGCAAATATATAATTCCTCAAAGCTGTCTTAATTCATTAATACAATTAAATGAATCTATTACAAGAACACTTGTAATTATTCTAAAATGAATTATATGTATGGGAGACATTGGTTTTTTTGGGCTTTAGACAATGTCTGGTGCAGACATAAAGACTTCTTACAGTTGTTATCTACTGCACGTCAGGTGTCTGAGGCCCACAGGTTGAAAAGTTCTTTCACCTACATGAAGTTTAAGTCAAAGTACACATGAACATTCTGTTTTGAATTAGTGTTCTACATCACTTCAGGAACTGATACTGTCCTTGATAAAGGCAACGGACACTAGAGGGGAAAAATTAGTATAATCAGTGTTAAAATTCTACTTTAAATGATTTTCCATTCTTGGCTTTTTATTTTTGAAGTAGACCAGAGGAGACTTTATGAATTATTAGCCGGTCCAAACCTCTTTTTTCACATAAGGGCACTAAGGTCCAGGGAAGTTCTCCAGCTTGCCCTAAATCACATGGCTATAACACAGTGTACATTCTGTCATCCCAAGCTGCATCTAGCTCCAGAGCTGGAGAGCTTTGTATTTTTATATGTGTGACAAAATGGCAGTATAAAGACATTCTAAAATCAAAAATACAGGAGTCACATTTAGATTGGTTTTGTAGTCTACAGCTGGAGAATTCAGGGTCAAAGAATATTAAGTCTTCAAGAAAAAAGTTGAGAAGGTAAAGGCTGCCATTGTTTTTAATTATCATAAAAATCAAACAAAAGACATTTACAAATCTGTTATGTGGCAAGTGATATACAGGGTTCCAGCAATTTCCTCCCCAAACCAGATTTTTCACACAATGTTTCATGCCATTCTAGATTTATAACTTGGGGTTGCCAACACCAGAGAACCAGGACTACAACTATAAGCAAAAAATCCCTGCCTCTCTGAAATTTTACTTTAACAGAGGAAACACATTAATCCAACAATCTCATGAATCTTTTCCAAGACAATGATAACAAGCATGGACATAACTCAATTAACAGGTAAAATAAGGAACCAAGGCCAAACAATTATCTAAGCAGCAGCATCTAACAATTTCTGTGACTCTAATTTATGACAAAAAATACTGGAGTTGGTGTTCATAGATAATTCTCTAGAAAACTTTTTTTTTGAGACAGAGTCTCACTCTGTTGCCCAGGCTAGAATGCCATGGCATCAGCTTAGCTCACAGCAACCTCAAACTCCTGGGCTCAAGCAATCCTTCTGCCTCAACCTACCGAGTGGCTGGGACTACAGGCATGTGCCACCATGCTCAGCTAATTTTTTATATATATTTTTAGTAGGCCAATTAATTTCTTTCTATTTTTAGTAGAGACGGGGTCTCGCCCTTGCTCGCTGGTTTCGAACTCCTGACCTAGAGCTATCCACCCACCTTGGCCTTCCAGAATGCTAGGATTACAGGCATGAGCCACTGTGCCCGGCCTAGAAAACATTTTTTTTAATTCATTTTTCTCAATATTTTATTGTGATCCTGCTAAAATTGCCTTACATGGATACTTCAAAAGTAACATGTTTAGTGAAACTATAATAACAATCAGAAATAATGTGCTGCATCCTAAACAGGTACAACAGTTCTAAAAACATTTAAAAAATAGACTGGCATCATCTCCTTGGGCATTTAAACCATATAGAATAAACATATTGCTGCTTATGAACTGGAAAAACACTAAAATATGCTTCAAAAAGACCATACACACTTCATTTTGAGGACTGGAATGAGATTGCTATTCTTAAAAGGGCTAATGAAGATCAAAATACTCTGGAGAGTCTCTGAAGTCAAAGGATAGAAAGAACAAAGGCTTACTTCAAAGAACTTCTGAATGACGTAATTTCCAAATACATCCACCATTAGTTGGTAAGCAGCCTGGAGGATTTCATTGAAGACAAGCTGGCGCTCAGCTGGTGTGGCACGTTCTAGTTTCAGCTGAATGAATCTGAAATACAAAGTAAAAAGGGCAATCACAGCATTTAAGAAAGACTTAAAAGTAAATATGGGTAACTTAATTTATATAATGTAGCAGTTCTGAAACTAAGTATGAGTGCTGCATGTGTGCATACATATGTATATAATAAACTAAATGTTATATAATCACTTGGACTCAAAGGAAAACTTCTAAAAAGGAGAAAGTATTCTCAAACTTAACAGAACTTTTAAAGGAATATTTAAATTTTAGTACATTGCATTCTAGCAGGGTGTATGTACTAAACTGTATTTCTGTGTGAAGTGGCAAGCAGGGGAGGCGGGAGGGGAGCCAAGCATAGCACAGGCTACTCGACATTTGCCTTTAGGAACCAGTCCCACACCAATTAACTCAAAGATTATGGTCCTTACTATTCTTTAACTCATTTTCATATAAAGTAGTATTCATTCTCTTCTGAAGTAGCAGCTATTCAGTTGGGTTTTTTTAGTTCAGGAAAATCATGTTGTCTCTGAAATCTGGACTATAAGATCCAAATATGAGAAATCCTGGCAGAACTTAAAAGAGGAGGTAGGTTCTTTAGAAGCTGCTTCACTGGACACAGAGAAAGCAACAGAAATGGAAACAGAGAAATGGGAAAGAAGGACGGGTGATGTCAACATAATTCTGCTGCTTTATCCCCAGAACCAGGTTCCCCTTCTGTGAGTGCACTAGCACAGCCAAACAGGAAAGTTAGCCCAAGCTGAGTTCTGTCTTCTATAATAGCTTTTCTCATATCTACACAGACTGTCACTTCCACAGTGTAGAACGACCAAGAAAAGTGGTAGAGTTGTCTTATGCAACCAAGATCCAAACTTACATTTTAAAAACGTCTTTTTCAGAGCAAATGATTCTTCAAAATGCTTACAGTAGCAAAAGTGTGTGTATGTCTTTGTGTTAGTTTTTCTGTTTCTTATACTGTAGAAATTTTTGGAGATGCTTATGAACCAGAAACACTGGGCTAACTCTTTTTGGTGGTTTTTTTTTTTTTTTTTTTTTTTTTGAGACAGAGCTCACTCTGTTGCCCAGACAGAGTCTCGCTTTGTTGCCCAGGCTAGAGTAAATGCCATGGTGTCAGTCTAGCTCACAACAACCTCAAACTCCTGGGCTTAAGCAATCCTGCTGCCTCAGCCTCCTGAGTAGCTGGGACTATAAGTATGTGCCACTATGCCTGGCTAATTTTTTCTATATATATATTAGTTGGCCAATTAATTTCTATTTATAGTAGAGATAGGGTCTCGCTCTTGCTCAGGCTGGTTTCGAACTCCTGACCTCAAGCAATCCGCCCGCCTCGGCCTCCCAGAGTGCTAGGATTACAGGCGTGAGCCACCGCACCAGGCCATAGGCTAACTCATTCACAAAGGTAAACGGTTAAGCATGTGATCCAGACTAATGGCTCTTTTCAAACACTTGTTTTTCTGATGACCCTCACCCTTACCCTCTGAAATAAATAATGGGAAGTATACCAAGAGGCACGCTTTATTTAAATTACTTTATGGCAATTTATTTTAGTATATACCTATCTGCAGCAAAGAATTGAAGGCATTAAGATTTCAGTTACCTTAAGTGCCAAAGCCAAGTCCTCACCTGGACCCATGCTGGTCTTGGGAAAACTCCATTATATGTCCCGCAATCTCACGCAGTTGTAAATTGGGGTACCGGTTGTTTCGAAAATCTTCCAAAAGCCTGCTCCTGCCAGAGGGCATGACATCGGACATTCCATATCGCAACCGAGAAGAAGAAAAAAGGGTGCTGCTGGGGCTGAAGAGGCTGGAGGCGCTGCTGGCACTGCGGTACTTGGCTTCAGCGCCTGGAGCAGCAGAAATGTATCTCCCACTGCCGTTTGTGAGTCCTCCTGTTGGTTACAGAACAGAAGAACTTAAGACCATTCTTAAGAAACTTCATTCAAGAAAGGAAAAAGCATCCCACACATGAAAGCCTGCATCATCTCTGATTTCTTCAAGTTTGTTGTTTTCGTGTTAAGATAATCCTATTAGTATCAAGACTTTTATAAAGCCAATTCACCAACCTGGAAGGAAACTTACACAAAGATGGAGAGGGCAACCCCTTTACCACTCATAGAAGACTGCTACCAAGAATGAAGCAATAGTGAGCACAACATTTAAGAAATAAAAAGAGGAAGAAACATGCCCACCATGTGAACCCAGCACCTGAGCACCAGCAGTAAGGACTCAGAAAATACAAAACACACTGACGTTTCAGTGGTTTTCAACTGTGAGCTCTATGGAGATTCCCTCCATTCTTGAATAACCCCTACTGTCCCATATGAAACCCATCCTAAAACATCAAGGTATCCAGATTAGTCTGTTTTATTATAGGGGACCCCTGAGAAAGCATTCTTTGAAGGAATGATTTTGCTGCTAAATAAAAGTGTGAAAATCACTAAGACATCCCAAGCCAAGGATGAAAAATACAAAGGGGTAGAAAAACCTTCTACTTGGAAATGGAAGATTTTTGGAGTTCTTCATCACAAATGGGCAGTTCTTAACAATTTCTATTCGGACACAGCCTAAAATGACTGTAGTAGCAACAATCTTCATACCACATATACTGCTGTTTTGACTCATGACAAGCGAGTAATTGTGAATCCCTAGACAGATGAAACAGAAGTATGACCAAAGGCTTATCAAAATGTAAAAGCAGCATGATAAATTATATGAATATAGTTTGATTTTTTTTTTAACACTGGTTCCTTTTTGTAACTTTAGATTGCTCTGTACAACCTTTTTGGGTTGCTTTTTCTCCTCTTAAAAAAAAAAAGCAAAGTAGGTAAGAAATAGCACATAAACCACAAAGAGCTTAGAAGAATAACAATTCACAGATTACGTGAGAAAAGTCACCAATGTGAACTGCTTATTAAACATTCCCATGAGTTGTAATGAACGTTTGGTTTGGAGTATAATGGTAGCAACAAAAACCATTAGGTCCTGGTTTGGACCTAATGGAATTCCAGGGCCCAGCTTCAAAAGTTTGGGTTATCAATGAAAGTGATGGAACCAAAAGGAACTGGCTCCATGTTAAAATTTGAAAAATATTTATTGATGGTTTTATCCTAAGCCTAGTTCTATACTAGAAGTTTCTCATACACACTTTCTACCAAATTCTCACTGGCATTTTGAAAAAGCAGTTTTTAGTTCCCATTTATGGAAGAGAAAATTAAGTCCCATAGAGACGAAATGTTTGTTCATCCAAAGACACAAAACCTAAAATTGTCCCGGCGAGAATCCCAAACAAGGCTCTTGACCCCAGGGGTCAGAGCCCTTGCAATTACACGAGACTCATTTCCAGACTGCTTTACATTAAGGTTCTTATTCTACAGGACACACTACTATTCTTGTCAAATTCCACAGTATCTCTTAATCCAAATGGAAAACATGTTTTAAAGGAAAGGAAGAAAGGAGGTTTATAGGAAAAGAAACGGTAGCCATGACTGTTCTTTATTTCAGAAACAATTCTTTCTTACCTGTCCAAGACTGGGGAGAAATGGGCAAAGAGGTGGTAATAAGGTAGGTCAGCAGGTGCTAGAAGGGTGTGACAATAGCAACAAACATGCCTAAGATGGAGTGGTATGAACACACAAGTTTTGAAAACAATTTAAAGGGATTTTAAGAATCTGGTCACTGAGTGAAGGTATATTAAAAGGTAGCCGGTCCTTGGTGACAATGTTTCATGACGGGACAAACCAACCCTGAACACTGCCATTACACTTCCAGTTATATCAGCCAATAAATGCATTTATTGTTTAAGCCACTATTAGTTGAGTTTTCTGTTATTGTGGCCAAAAGCAAGCTGACTAATCCCTAAGACAAAGGGCTAGAGTGAATAGCTGTTAATATGCCTACAATAAAGATTTATACATTTACCCTGAAGTTTTGATTTTTGGTTCTTGTCTCCTTGGATGCCAGATAGGTATATACTACACAGGCACAAAGGCACACACACACGCACAGCTTTTGTTATTAAGAAAGGAAGAGATATACAAATCTCTGAAAGGGAAAAGAAATTTCTCAAGTACTAGATTATAAATGGCAAACTGACAGTTCACAGACATATTTTACTTGGGCCAAGCAATATTTCTTTAAACATTAAGCCAGTGCTTAAAGTTTCCTGAAATTGGTGTTCTCTTGTTGTTTTTGAAAAGATGTGTGGCAAATAGTAGACCAACAGTAAATATCTGTTGACTGAATCTCATGTAGATGGATAATGTGCAGAAATGTGCTTTCCAATTCATGATAGTCTGAACACCTACATGTACTTGTACCCAAACCACTATAGCACTGGGGGTGGTCCCTGGAAGTATTTAAATTTACAATACCCATTTTTTAAAAAAGAACATTTCTCTTAAGGATTCAAAGGGAGCCTCTTACTGACTTCACTGTTTTCTACAGTATTTTGTCAGTGGTGGATTTCATGGGGCTGATAACTTTCCACAGAAATGGCTTAAACATTTTATTTAAATTACGTGCTTCAGTTGTTTTACATAATTCTACAAAAGGGTTTTCTGCCAGCAGACATCTGGTATTCCATCCTCTTGCTATGTGCAATGTTCTCGTTTATTTGCTTTTTGTACTCATAGATCTAATAGATGCCTAATGGTCAAAGCCTTGCCTTCCCACCTTTAAAGAAAAACTCCCAAGGTCCCTAACACCTGGCTCTGTATTTAATACAGGCAGAAGCAACAGTGTTCGTCAAAACATTTGAAAGGCCGGGCGGGTGGCTCACGCCTGTAATCCTAGCACTCTGGGAGGCTGAGGCGGGCGGATTGCTCAAGGTCAGGAGTTCGAAACCAGCCTGAGCAAGAGCAAGACCCCGTTTCTAACTATAAAATTAGAAAGAAATTAATCGGCCAACTAATATATATATAGAGAGAAAAAAAATTAGCCGGGCATGGTGGTGCATGCCTGTAGTCCCAACTACTTGGGAGGCTGAGGCAGTAGGATTGCTTGAGCCCAGGAGTTTGAGGTTGCTGTGAGCTAGGCTGACACCACAACACTCACTCTAGCCTGGGCAACAAAGCGAGACTCTGTCTCAAAAAAAATATATATATGTATAAAAAAAAAATTAACAATAAGTTCTCCCCAACATCACACCAAGGTACCCCTAAATTAAAATAAACCTAATACAGATTATCTTTAGTGCATCATAATATGTTTTAAGTACATTAATTTTCAAATGGTTAGTTTTACAGATGATAAGTCTTTTTCAGAAAACAAAGTGAGAAATCACAAAACACTGCATTTTGATTTAAAATAAGGGAGTACCTAAAGTCACATACATGACTGGTAAAAAATTAGTACAGGTTACTGACCAATAACTTAGAAACTCCTACTTCAGCTCAAGCAAGGACAGAGAAAGGCATATTGTGTTTGAGTTTTGCTTTTCCTACAAGACTAAGGACACACAGAACCTGAACAGAAAGAACAGAAAGAATAAATTTTAGGAAAATATTCTATCATGACAAAAAAACTAATGCTTACATTCTTTGACCCTGGACAGATTAATAAACTTTGAGCTCATTTTTACTGTATTTCATTCCCATAGGAATGAACAAACACATCATTTTTCTTTTCAAGACACAAAAAACCTGGAGGGTGTCAACCACACACTTAAAAAACTGTATGTGCTACCTCTTGATGCTTGAAAGTTTTTAAATGGCACAATCTGGGGACTGTGCAGAAAACCATATGCATGGAGGAGCATTCCAAAAAATGGGGAGGGAATGGATCTAGGATGATGAGATATCTACAGGTAGACAGGACATGAAACCTTTAAGAATCAGACTTTTGGGACACTCACATATACATCCCTTACTCTCTTTGAGATGAGAGAGAATTTACTACAGATGAATGTTTTAGTCATAGGTAAGAGCCTAAGTGATTCATCTAACCTACATATAAACCACAAATGAGAGTTGTAGATCTGGTTTTTAATAATACAGCAATTAACTATTATTAATAATTATGGAAAATTATTATTAAATTGAGAAATGTTAAAACATACTTAATCCCAACAAAATAAATACTTACAAAATAAATACTTGCTCAGGGACATGAAAACTTTTATATGTACACATTCATGTATGGGGAAGATGGAAAGATTGAGAGAGAAAGAATTTCACTTATTAAATAATACAGTTTTATGTGAACAAACCTGGCAGCTTAGAAGAAATGAACAAATTCCTAGGAAGTCACAAATTACCAAAATTGACTCAAGAAGAAACAAACACAAAATCTGAGCCTACAAGGGCTATAAAATGTAAAGAAATTGAGTTAGTAAATAAGAATCTTACCACAAATAAACACCCAGATTACCTGGTGAATTCTATTAAATGTTTAAAGAAGAAATAATGTTAATACTCCATTAACTCTTCCAGAAAATAGGGGGGGTGGTATACTTCAAAATTCATGGTTTAAGGTCAATATCACCCTAATATTCAGCTACATAAACACATCACAAGAAAGGAAAACAACACACACCCTTCATGAACACAGATGCAAATATCCTCAACTAAAATATTAGCAAACTGAATCCAACAAGACCAACTGGGATTTATCCCTGCAAGGCAAAGTTGGATTAACATCTAAAAATCAATTAATAAAACATACTACGTTCACAGAATAAAGGATTAAAAAACACATGATCAACAATAAATGCATAAAAATCATTTGCCAAAAGCCCAAACCCATTCACAACAAAACAACAAAAATGCTCAAGAAACTTGGGATAGAAGGAAACATTTTCAACCTAAGAAGGGCATCTACTAGGCCAGGTGCAGTGGCTCACACCTGTAATCCTAGCACTCTGGAAGACCAAGTGAGACCAGCCTGAGCAAGAGTGAGACCCCGTCTCTACTAAAAATAGAAATTAGCTGGACAACTAAAAATATAGAAAAAATTAGCCAGGCGTGGAGGCGCAACTCAGGAGGCTGAGGTAGGAAGATCCCTTGAGCCCAGGAGTTTCAGATTGCTGTGAGCTAGGCTGACGCCATAGCACTCTAGCCTGGGCAACAGAGAAAAGGGATTCTATCTCCAAAAAAAAAAAAAAAGGGGGGGGGGCAGGTTCCTACTAAAAACTAACAGTAATGCTTAACAGTAGAAGATGAGTACTTTACTCCCAAGATCAGAAACAAGGCATGGATGTGTTTCTCATCTATTCTATTCAACACAGTACAGGCTGAGTATCCCTTATCCAAAATGCTTGGACCCATAAATATTTCGGATTTCGAACTTTTTCAGATTTTGGAATATTTGCATTATACTTACCAGTTGAGCATCCCAAATACAAAAGTCTGAAATCGGAAATGCTCCAATGAGTGTTTCCTTTGAGTGTCATGTCACCACTCAAAAGTTTTGGATTTTATAGTATTTCAGAATCCAGATTCTTGGATTTGGGATATTCAACCGATACTGCAGGTTCTACCCAGTGCAATCAGGCAAGAAAAAGAAATAAAAGGCATACAGATTAGAAATTTTTTTATTCTCAAGTGATTATGACGCTATATATAGAAAACCCTAAGGAATCCACCAAAAACCATTAGAACTATTAATAAACAACTATAGCATAGTCACAAGATGAATATGTAAAAATCAACTGTATTCTATAAGCAACCAACAATCAATCCAAAAATAAAACTAGAACACAATTCCATTCACAATAGCATCTAAAAAATACACAATCAGGAATAAATTTAACAGAAGAAGTGTAAGACATGGACACTGAAAATTACAAAATTTTGCTAAGGCAAATTGCTGAAACAACTAGATATCCACATGTAAAATGATGAATTCTCATTTCACACAATACATAAAATTAACTCAAAATGGATCACAGACTTAAATGTAAGAGCTAAAATAATAATTTTTAGAACAAAACATGAGAAAATGTTCCACGGCTTTGAGTTTGGCAAACATTTCTTAGCATGATAAGAAAGCATGAATAATTGGACCTCATCAAAATAAAAAACCATCACACTTTAAAAGACACAATTTTAAAAATGAAAAAAAGCAAAAGACCAGGAGATGAAGAATTTGTGTCCAGAATCTACAAAGAACTCTTATAACTCAATAATAAAATGACAAAAAAAAAAAATTTAAAAATGGGCAAAAAATACGAGCAGCCATTTGAAAGACAAATGGTTAATAAGCACATGAAAAGATACTTTACATCATTAGTTACCAGGGAAATGGAAAATAAAACCACAATGAGTTACCATTTCACGAACACTAGTATAGTTATAATAAATAAGACAACAATAAATGTTGGTGAAGTAGAAAAACTGGAATCCTTATACACTGCTGGCAGGAATATAAAATGGTACACCAATATGTAAAATAGTTTGGCAGTTTCTCAAAAAAATTAACATAAAACAACAATCCAACAATTCTACTTCTAGAGAAATGAAGCCTGTCCACAAAAAGACTCGTATCCAAACGTTCATGGTAGCATTAATTCTAACAGCCAAAACTGGAACTGTCAGCTGTGAGCGGAAAGACAAAAGGTGGCATAGCCATAAAATGGAAGATGATTCAACAATAAAAAGGAACTATTAACACATTTTATCATGGATGAATGTCAACATGCAAAGGGACAAAAGCCAGACAGAAAAGACCACATGTTATATGCTTCCACTTATATGAAATGTCCAGAAAATGCAGATTTAGAGACAGAAAGTAGATCGATAGCTGACTGAGGCTGAGGGCAGCAATGGGGATTAACTCAAATGGGCATGAGAAATCTTACTGATGGGATGATAATAATCTAAAATGGATTTATGATGATTGCACAACTCACAAAGTTACTGAAATTCATTGAAATGGGTGCTAGAAATGGGTGAATTTTATGATATGTGAAATATAATTCAATAAAGTTTTTTAAAAGTCTGGACTTTCAACAATTGTTAATGGAAAACCATTGAAGATTCTTAAATATGCACTCAGTAAGTGATTTTTAAATAAATGGGGAAAATCATGGCATGGGTCACTGATTATTTTTTTTTAAAGAATACTCTAACAGACATTGGCTACTAGAAGTATAAAAATGATGAGATGGGGGAAAGATCCATATTGGTACAACAGAAATATAGGCTGGTATACATATTCAACACTTACTAGCAACGAGCTATTAGGAAATTCATTAAAACACAGTGAGTTTAAGTTTTCATGTGTAGAAGCATTCTTTTGAATATTCAACACAATGAATATAAAAATGCTACTATATAATGCTGAATATAAAAATGGTGGCTTGTGATCAAATAACTGATGGCTAGTGGCAGCAGTGAAGTAATAGTAATAAGAGAAAATGTATTAGGTGTGGCTCAATATATAATTGGTAATGCTTCTTACACCAAAATGTCTTTAGGGCATTTGTATAAACACTGTTAGAAACCAAGTACAACATGTCTGTTTTCTCTAAATTGAGACTAAGGCACAGAAGAACCTTTACTCAAGAAAACAGACTGAGCTCTACCAATCAAGCTTAATAAAGCTCTACCAATCAAGATACAAAGTTCCTCAGGAATGGCATATATAATATGTGCACTACATACAGCAAAAGAAGTCCAATGCAAATGTACGCAAATAAAACTGCTTAAACAGGTGATTTTTAAAAAAGATGTTAAACATAAAAGTAAGTGGGCAGCAAATAAGAAATAACTCACACTTCACAGGGAAAACATGAATTAAGAAGTATTAATATTAATTTGCTGATATACTGGAAAGGGGAAAGGCATAGTGCACAAAAGTACTGTTCCAGCTCCACTTTCACATTCCGAGAGCCACAGCATTTAGTTCAGGAATTGAAAAAGTATAGCCCACAGAATAAATCTGGCCTACCACCTATTTTTGTAAATAAAGTTTTATTAGAAGATAGCCACACACTCATTCATTTACATTTTGTCTGTGGTTGCTTTCACACTTCAATAGCAGGGTTGAATATTCACTGCAGACACCATCTGGCCCACAAAACCTAAAATATACACTGTCTGACTCTTTACAAAAATATTTTATAGTTTAGTTTAGTACTCAGTATGAGACAACATAGTTCAAATGTTTAAACCAAGAAGTTAAAAGGTAATATATTTCTGGATCTGATAAGGCACTGGTTCAAGATATCCTGGGCATATCATGTGATAGGACATACACTGAAACTGCACACTCTAGAGTCAAAAGGGCTTGACTGGAAACCTGTTCAAATCTGAAATGATATAGGCAAGATATAAGTCCTGAGGCAGAGGGATATAGCTATACCTTCCAGAGTTGACCCAAAACCATTAATCTAGCAGGTAAATGCCAGGTGAATGAATGATAGCTCCTTCCTTGTATTCATGTATGAAACTGGGACTTTCACATCCATCCCCTTCCTGATTCTGCATTAACCCTTAGTCTCTCGTGCCAGGCATTCCTGTCACTAGAAAACACTGATGTGCAATGTACCCCATTCCCTCATCCATCTATTATGGACATATCAATTAGGAATGTCCCTACAACTTTGCTAAAATAATATCCATATATAACCCGAGAAAATGAATCCTACAAATATAGTTCTTAACGTATAAAACTTGAGGATACACATTCACTACTCTTAGTTCTAGAAATACTCTTAGTTCTAGACTTACTTCTACAATAACTCTATTACCCCACCCACCTCAAACTTTTTTTTTTTTATTTTTAAAAATCACTTCCCAGTCTGTATTTCCAAACAGAAGTATCCTATTTGTTTTTAGTCAGTCCTCACGTCTGAGTCCATGAAGCCACTTTCAATCCTGCTGGTTAAAAACAGAGTCTTCTAAGAAAAGTGACCATACGTGCTGACTTGCCCAGGACAGTCCTGATTTAGGCCTATCATCAGAGAGTAAGCATTAATAGTATCCTTATTCACCCACAAAAGTGTCCTGGCTTGCATGATACATTATATGGTCATTCTAAGACTCAACTTTCCCCAACTAGGAAATAATCAGCATTTTAAAGTTGATAAATAACTGAGGGAGAAGGGTGTGCACCATGTTTCTGAGATAAGAAACTGTCTCCCATGTCCTGAAAGATTTAGAAAATGTTGCCAAAAATGGTGATATAATTTTTTTTTCATTTTTACATCCTCTTTTCCCTCCTGGGTTTCTAGGATCTAGATGGTAACATTTAAAAAATCCCATACATAAAACAACCTAAGTATATAATAGGGAAATATAAATCTACTCATTAGCATACTGTGTGATTTAAGAGTTTTTATTTACAAATTTTTTAGAATATGGCAAAAACTTTTAAATAAAATGTTTTATGTGAAAAAAACAAGATATTAAGTGTATACATAGGGGAAGGGAAAATCCAAAAAGAAATAAGGTAAAATATTAATTATGGGGATATTTTAGGTGGTTGTACTGGGTGAATAAATTTTTTGTCTCTGTGTTTTCCAGCTTCACTGAAATGAACCTGTACTGTGTTTATAATGAAAGACACAAGTAGCCAAAGCATAAAATGTTCATACTAAAGCTGAAGTGAAAATACAGGGAATGTACCCAAACACTAATAAATGCAAAACTGTTATACTGCTATACTATCTATAGGTACAACCTGAATAATATGAGGTATTTATGAAAGGCACAGAACACCCAGGACACTTCTAGGATAAAGGGATTGTCCTTTGCTTATGCAGAGTACTTGTAATGTCATTGGTGGCAAAAGATTTCTAGAGTTCAAGGTGGTGTTAGAGTAATGGTTCTTACCCAGGTTTAAGCTTGAAGAGGATCCATGTGAAGAGAGGGAAGGAGGTGGTGTCTGTGAATGTCCTGGTCCCTGACTAGGGAGAGGCATGCCCACGGGTCCAGGAGAGGAGGAAAAGCTAAGGCCGTTATAAAAACTGTGTCCAATGGGGGTCAAGCTGCTCGATGTCCTCTTATAAAGGTCACTGCTGCCAGTCAGGGAGTCACGGCGGGAGCCACTGCCAGTGTTGGAGTTTGCAACTAAAATGGAATTAAAACAATGCAGATAAGAACAGGCCTGTTCTTCGAAGAACAAGCCCAGTGACCTGTTCCTAACACTTGATCCAGACTCCTTACCACTGCAAATTTGTCAGCAGAGACAGCCTAACTGTTAATGTAGCAGTTCTAGGGGCAGATAAAGTAATAAAGAGGACATGGCTCAGGTAAACATGAAACTTTGGTTCAAACCATCACACGTATGCCAAATTTACCTTTCTCTGATGTCATATATTATGGGATGGGGAGGGTTAAAAAGCTCTGACGGCCACATGAGCTATGAAAAAGGTGAAAGAAAACGGACTAGAAAGAATGCCTTTCATCAACCAAAAAGGTTCTAGTAGAAAAATGGAATACAGAAAAAAAGATTTATAAATGGGGTGCTGCCCCACTACACTCGACTTTTATATATGAAAGCCTGTTTTCTCAGTGGGTTCAATCAAGAATTACTACTACCCCCAATTCCAATTAAGAAACTTTCTTACAAACATGCCCTTCTGTTTGGGGATCACACTGTCTTACAATCTGTATAAGTATCCCATTGTACACCTTACTATATCCCTGCTTTTTTTCTTCGATCAAAACATTAAAAATATCCTGTTCTAATATCCTTCCTCCCAATTTTCCACCTTAATTCTGCTCAAAAGACTGGAGAAAACTTTTGATTCTTTAAGGCCTGCAGGCCAAGCACTCAGTTCAGTCTCAGTCGTGGAGTCCTCAGCCCTGTGATCTTTGGTAAGTCCTCCTCCCTCACTTTTTAATATTCATATTTCTACAGTTCCCTCCACATTCTTCCAATTAATGCAAAAATCTTCCCTGCTTTTCAAATCGCGGAAACAAATTGACTATGTGAGTATAAAGCAACATAAGCATGGACCTGAAATAGGTTCCAACTATATAACTGGATTTCAATAGTCCATCATCTCAAAGATTATGTGGGATGGCTGGATTCCCATGGAGCTTAGTGCAGCTCTGCCTGTCCAGGGTATCTGTCCAGGGTTCCATGCATTGTCAGTATTCCAAGAAGATTGTAAAAATAATTAAAATTTGGTTTTAACAGCACATCAGTCTGATTTCTACCTGCTGTTCCAAACCCTCCAAGGGCTGATCCCAGGGTGGCGCCGAGAGAACTGCTACTTCCAAATCCCAAGGATGTGTTGGCAGGTTGGGCAGAGCCCTGGGAGAAGAGGGAGCTGCTCTGTGAATTGCTGTTCAGAGAGTTGTTGCCATAAAAAGAACTGGATGCCAGGTTGTTACTGGGCTGCTGCTGGGGCTGGGGCTGAGGCTGCTGGGTTCCTAAAGGGCGAAATGCTCCATTTGTTGTTCCAGCAAGACCACCGGCTGCTCCATTTGCTGAAGCTGCGGCTGCTGCAACAGCTATGAAAAAGAAAGCAAACTGTTTGTGAAAGGGATTGGCCACATTTCCAAGCTAAATTTTTATCCTTTTTTAAAAACTCTTTTAACGCTGCCTATCTTTTCAAAACAGACATAAACCTTGTAAAAAAAAAAAAAAAAAAAACTATACAGATCTGCTTTGATCCCTGCATGTGAAGCTTCTACTTTCTATTCTATTTTCAATTTGAAGTCAACATACTACTGGACCACACTCAGTATGCTGGCAGCTTCTAAGAGTCTTCAGTTTAAAAGAACATCAAACATAGCCACTAAATACAAATGCTTCCTAAAATTTCAAATTCCATAAATATCTATATTGAGGTTTTTGTTCCCCAGAACCATGTAATCCATATTCTAAAGTTGCTCAAATTCCTATTTTAGCATACTGCTCTCTTCTAAATGTTCCCTCTATTATTCCTAATTAAAAACAATAAACAAAAAAACCCATCATATAAAGCTTAAAGTAAAATATATATATATATATATTACTCCCCCAATCATGTACTGCTCTGAGCACTTCTCACTGTTCTTTCCCACTTACTCCACCCCCTGCCCCTATACCAAAAAAACAGCCCTCCCCCCCCAAATTATCTTATAATAATGACTTGGATTTCTGTAAAATTAGCCTTGGACTTTTGCCAACAGAGCCATTTTGTGTGAGTAATCCAACTTCCTATGTTCTCAATACAGCAAAGCCTGGCTTCTAACCAAATGGTACATGTCCCTCAAGAAAAATCAGAATCCACCAAGGTCATTTACTGCTTCTGATATATCTTTGAAATATTATAGAATAGCACTGCCATACTGAGAATTGACAAGTAAAGCATATTTCAACATACTGTTAGAACATCATCAATCACCTCTTTTAGCTATGACAGGAGTCCACTAAGACGTAAGCTTACCTGCTTGTGCAGCTGAGGAACTAATGATGACTGGGGCAGGAGCTACAAGTCGAACGGGAGCTCCAAGACCATTTCTTGCTCCTGCATTCACCACAAGGGCACCAGTTTGGTCATAGTAAGCAGCAGGAGCCAAGACTGGATAACCTAGGAAAATCAAGCCAACATATATATGAAACAAGCAAATGTCTCCTGGGCACCAGAATATTGCAAATAACAACAAATTCAGCTTTGGGATCAGATAGACCTAGATTTACATCCTGCTCCATCACATAAATAGTTGAATGACCTGAATCTCTGGGCATCCATTTTGTTATCTGTAAAATAAGGATAATAACATTACCACCTGCCTCATAAAGTTCTTGTGAGGATTAAAAGGTAAGTTTGAAGGATCCAGCATGATTTCTGGCATATATTAAATACATAGTAAAGGGTAGTATTATTTATCACCTGCTAGTCTAAGAAAGGTAATTTGGTGGGACAGGGAATACTTCTGTGCTCTTCAAACTCCTAGGCAAGGTTATCACTCACAATCATACACTGATAATTTTTCTGTTTTCTCGACTAAACAAATAACAGAGGCTACAAATGATTGCAAAATTCATAGTACTTCCATACCACATAATAATATAAGCACAAAGATCCTGCAAGTCAGCATGAAAAACCTAAACAGGCTTCAGTTAAAAGGCTCTGTTAATATTATATGAGATGGAATCCCCAAATCCTAGTTTGAGCCATATGAGAAACTGCAGGTGATTTCCTAATAAGGCATAATGCTTAGTAATAACAAAACAAATGAAGCAAGTTATTCAATGAATTCATAAATGGACTAATCTGCCTATGCTCCAGTTAATAAAGATCAATAAAATTAAGCAAAGATCTCGCAAGGATCTATTTCAAATGAAGAACATCAAACTACATCCAATCCCATACAAAGCACAGAATCAGATGGCAATGAACCAAGAACAACATATATTCAAGATGTATTTATACAGACATGTATTTCAGAGGTAGACAGCTAAAAAGGAACTTGACTTGGTTTGGGAGAAATCCTAGAAATGAAAGGGATGACCCTTATATTCAAGGAATACCAGCAATTTCTTCCTAACCATGCTGTTCAAAAATAGCGCATAAAAACTAAGCCTTAGAGTGATACAAAAGTAGCTGGCCACTCCATCTGTCACTAACCCAGAGGAAGAAAATAGATCACAGCCATGGCAAAACCACATATTCCAAGCTACATGAACATTCACATATATCCAACAAATGAAGACTTGAGACTGGTTCAGAACAATTCTCTCATCAACAAACTATGGTCTAAGTGAGGGCAAGTGTATATCATCCTTGCCAGTCCCCAAATCATGACAAGCCCAAACGAGATAAAAAGCACTATCCATTCTCCTCTTATTACCCTAAACATGAAGACTTCTACCCTCTGCAAAATATTAGGAACAACATTGCAATCTCACCTGGCATGCCTGCAGCCAGACCTTGTCCAAACGCAAGCGCAGAATTCACTGCTGCAGCTGCCACTAGTGGATCTGTTTGCTGTCCCTGCTGGTTCTGATTTGGAGTCAAAGGGCGCTGACTGGCTCCTCCACGGAGAACCTAGGAAAGGGAGATAGAAATATATCAACTACTTTCTCCTTAGTGGAAGTATCTAAGACCTACCACGTGCTCAAGTTGGGTCGACTTTTAAAAATGACTAATTGTATAAATTTCTATGACTTGGACTATGTAAGAAACACAAAAAATAAAAAAATTCATAGTTGTAAAACATTTTCACTATAATGGTTTTATATGGCATGATTGCTAGGACAGAAATTCAATTAGTAACATTTCATACAGCAAAATTTCATTCTACCATTTTTAGCTTAAACATATTACCTTTATAAGCAAGCACCAAAAAGCATATAAAAGTGATGATTCATTTATCATATATTTTACCTCACTTTACTCATAAAGTTATTGTGAAGATTATGTTAAAAGATTAAATCAGAAGATCTATCATGATGTCTGGCACATATTAAGCACACAGTAAGAGGTAGTGTTATTAAATATTTAGTGCCTACCATTTGATAGATGGGCAGGTGGAACAGAGCAGTGAACAAGACAAAGCCCCAGCCCTCATGAAGCTTTTATTCTAATAAATAAGGCAGATAATAAACACTATGTAATGTCTCTTACAAAAAGTGAAGAAATGAAGGCTATGATGGGGGAGGGGTTCAAATAAGATGAACTGGGCTAATTTACCCACATATTTAAGTTATTAAATATAATCGTATCTTAAACATACAAATACACACAAAATGGAATATAAGAACATTTTCTCTATTCTTTAACACTATTCCTATTTATCAGGGCCCAAATAAGCTCAACAGATTTGATTTAGCAGGCTTCTGACCTGTTTCTATTTCTCCTTTCATAAATTCTAGAAAGAGGCTCATCTAAATGGAGATGATTATTAGTCAAGTTCATTGCAGAATATCAATTGTGCCACTACCTATTTTTTATTACTGAAACATAGATATGGAGATGCTAATAATCATTATTATTATTCCAAATGATCTGAAGAATCTTTTTCACAAGATCTATAAACTCCAGCCAGCAAAAATGCAAAAACCACAGACCAAGGCTAAAATTACTGAAGTTTCTAATGAGATGTTTTTGCAATATTTTCAAGTACAAAGTTCTTATCAGATCACTTTCAATTTCACTCTGCTATTTATAAGTTAGGCACGGTCAAGAACATGGGTACAGATTATTCTTGGAACTACTAGTAAAAAACAAAAAAGAGAAAATAACACTAATAATCAATTAAATATTTATTAAATGAGTATAAACTGAACACTGTTCATACCATGTTTCCTCAAAAATGAGACCTACCCATAAAATAAGCCCTAACAGGATTTCTAAGCATTTGCACAATATAAGCCCTGGCCCGAAAATAAGACCTAGTGATGGGCGAGGCTACGCAGCATATCTGCACAACCCATGTGTTTCGTCGTGGAGCAGTAAAAAAGACAAGCTGCCCCATCGTGACAGCTACTCTCCCAGAGGTGACCGGAAAGGTGCAGGCAGCCCCACCAACAAGGTCGGCTCCCCCTTCAGGTCCCAGCCAATGGTTATAAAGGAAATAGAGTTGCAAGAAATTCAGGATGGAATTCGGGGTTTGGAGAGTTATGATGATGTCCAACAAGACGACTTAACTATATTTGAATAAATGTAGACTGTTGTACTGTACTTAAAAAAAAAAATAACACATCCCCTGAAAATAAGCCCTAGGGTGTCTTCTTGAGGAAAACTAATATAGACCCTGTCTTATTTTCGGGGAAACAAGGTACTGGCAAGAAGAGATGTGTGGACACTTAAATTAACTGGAGTCTCTTATTTCTTTATCTGTTAATAGTGAGAATCAACAAGTGATCTTGCAGATTTGTCAGAAATACTTGAAATATGTCTTTAAGGCACAAAGCCTGACACCTAGTAGATAACCAATAACCAACAGATGATAACTATTATTATCAAAATATTATGCAATTGATTTCTGTTTATGACCTAAAGAACCTAACCAACTTCAGGCTGGGCTCGGTGGCTCATGCCTGTAATCCTAACACTATGGGGGGGCCAACGTAGGAGGACACCTTGAGGTCAGGAGTTCAAGAACAGCCTGAGCAAGAGTGAGGCCCTGTCTCTATCAAAAATAGGAAAAAAACATTAGCTGAGACTGGTGGCAGGCACCTGTAGTCCCAGCTATTTGGGAGGCTGAGGCAGAAGAATCACTTGAGCCTAGGAGTTTGAGGTTGCAGGGAGTTTTGATGACGCCATTGCACTCTACCCAGGGTGACAGAGTGAGACTCTGTCTCAAAAAAAAAAAGTTTCAAACTACATATATGGAAGTATAAAAGGAGGACTGCATCACTGAGTAGGCCAAGATTTAGAAGATACCTGCACAATAATCCAGAAGAGATCACTCTAGGAATAGTATGTACAGAGGAACAGTATGTACAGAGATATGGCAAATACTAATAGTTCAAACTGCTTAAGAATTAAAATAAACAACAGAAGCATTGCTTTCACAGGGAATAAAGAAGTAGGTTTTACGTTTGGATAGGAGTTGTATGAAAGGGCAGGGGAGGAGGAGTAAACAAAGTGCCTCAAGCAAGAGGTAGTCAAGACTACTAATGAGTCTTGTTTTAACAAGGAAGGAAAGCAACATGCATTAGCTTTTAGTCTACGCTCTAAAAATCTATGCAGTACCCTTAACTATAAATCAAAGTTCGTAAGTCATCTGCCAATGTTCATATATTTTAATTTCATCAATAGCTATCAAGTCTATGGCTTTTATGAAAATATATAAAATTTCACAAGTAACATCAAATCTCTAAAACTGACTGAATTCATAAAACACTATGCTAGGAGTCAGTTTACTGCCTATCTTAACAATGCATGAACTGCAAATTCAAATTTCTATTCAAAGGTACTGATTAAAATGTACAACATTTAAAAGCAACCAATATACTATAAGCAAGTAGCTGCTCAATGGAGATATTCTAATTAATAACCATTCATCCTTCTTAGTGGTTCTCCTTTATGTTCCCTAGAACATTCACTGGCAATCTCCTTAAAACTAGAAAGTTCAGAGGCCATCCTAAACTCCTCCTTTTCAAAATGCAATATCCAACACCAAATCCCCACCAAGTCTCCCACCTTTGTTAGAGTTCAATCAAATGCTGAGGACTTTAACAAAATTTTTAAACATTTACAGAAGAAAAAAAAATTTTTAATTTTAAAAACACAGAAGAAGAAAAAAAAATTTATCAAGTATCAAAGGAACCTTAAACAAGGATGAAAAAGAAATCAGAAGATGGAATGGCTAGAATGTCAATGACTCCCCTTTAAGTTCTAGCAATGAGAATTACAATGATTGGCTTGTGAAGACAACATACAGTTCCTGATAAAATCTAAAGACCAAAATTAAAGTGTATCAAGAGTCTCTCATTTTAATTACTATGACATAGGAGTTCAGCAAGAAAATCATACTGAAATCAGAAACTGGCAAGACAAGACAAAACAAAACAAAGACAAAACAACCCACAAAACAATGGCTGCTTATTAAAAACTAATGCTAGCCAGCCACAGGGGTTCATGCCAGTAATCCCAGCACTTTGGGAAACCAAGGCAGAAAGATCACTTGAGGCCGGGAGTTGGAGCTCAGCCTGGGCAACACAGTGAGGCCCTGGCTCTATATTTAAAAAAAAAAAAAATAGCCAGGCATGGTAATGTGTGTCTGCAGTTCTAGCTACTCAGGAGACTGAACCAGGAGGATCACTTGAGCCCTGGAGTTAGAGACTGCTATAAGCTGTGATTGTGCCATTGCACTACAGCCTGCACAACAGAATCCTTATCTCAAAACAAATGCTAAAAACTTTCACTACGGATGACAGAAAACTCTAATAAACAAATGCTTTTCATGTCCATTTTATAACAAAGGAATATGCATTGGAGAAGTCATACAACTTGCCCTAGCTGTAACCTGTTAATGTTAGAAGAAAGACCAGATCTCAAATTTTCTTTAACACCAGACATCACAATAAGGTCAGAACACAAGTTGTGAAGATAGAGCCTTATGTTCAATTCTTAACAACTTATTATTAGTGTGACCCGGGGCATACAAATTCCATTTCCTCAATCATAAAAGGAGAAGTTATGTATCTATTTATAAGAATTGGAAAAAGGAATAGAAATTATATGTAGATCACTAAGCTTTACACAAAAAGCTTTCAATAAATAGTAGTTATTGCTATTATTCTTGTTCACTGTGTTAGAGCTAATTTTAAAACACAGCAATTAATTCAGTCTTCCAAATCCACAATGACTTGGCAACCATTTAAACAAAAGTTCATCACACAAAGAAATATAGACTTATCCACAAAGAGCAGATATTAAGAAATTTACTTAATAAAGAGCACTCATTCTAACAAATTATTTACTGAATTTCCTTACATATACAGTACAAGAATTGCATCTGTTGGCAAGAAAATCATTTAATAGTTTCCAAAAAACTATTAGGACCTGTGTTTTTCCTATAACTATATAGAATCTAAAAAACTACACATATACTCTCAAAAGCAAAAAATTCTTGTTTGGATCATATGCAAACATATGAACATGGTGTTTTACCTCAAAAGACAGCTTTTATTTGACAATGTGTAGCAAAAGCTTAAATGTTCATTTCATTTGCTCCAGGAAAATTTCATTACCAGGAATTTATTTCAAGGAAAGAGTCATAGACTTATACAAAGGGCATTAATCACTCTCATTCATTTTATTTTTGACAGAGTCTCACTCTATTGTCCGGGCTAGAGTGCCATGGCATCAGCCTAGCTCACAGCAACCTCAACTCCTGGGCTCAAGCAATCCTGCTGCCTCAGCCTCCCGAGTAGCTGGGACTACAGACATGCGCCACCATGCCCGGCTAATTTTTTCTATATATTTTTTTAGTTGGCCAGTTAATTTCTTTCTATTTTTAGTAGAGACGGGGTCTTGCTCTTGCTCAGGCTGGTTTCAAACTTCTGACCTTGAGTGATCTTCCCGGCTCGGCCTCCCAGTGCTAGGATTACAGGCATGAGCCACCAGGCCCGGCTACACTCTCATTTATAACACTAAATTATTGCTAACTGAAATATCAAATATAACCAAATATAATATGTTTGTTATATGTACCTAGTAAATGTTAAATGTACCTAGTAAATTAAAAACAACACTAAATGATATGGTGAAGTATGAAATCAGAATGAAAAACCATGTGCACAGAAGTATCCCAGTTTTGTAATGAATTAAATAATAAGGCTGGAATAACTGATACCAAACATACTAATATTGGTTTTCTGATGTACGATTTTAGGGTGGTATTTTTTCTGAGTGTTTCCATTTCACTACAATTTCTAGCAATAAAGAGGTGTTATTCTAATAATCAGGAAAAATGTCTTTAAAAAAAAAAAAGGATATATGTAGTTTTACTATTTACTATCCTTTCCCAACTCAATTAAAAAACTATTGCAGAGGCCGGGTGCAGTGGCTCACGCCTGTAATCCTAGCACTTTGGGAGGCCGAGGCGGGCGGATTGCTCGAGGTCAGGAGTTCGAAACCAGCCTGAGCGAGACCCCGTCTCTACCAAAAATAGAAATAAATTAATTGACCAACTAAAAATATATATACAAAAAATTAGCCGGGCATGGTGGCGCATGCCTGTAGTCCCAGCTACTCAGGAGGCTGAGGCAGTAGGATCGCTGAGCCCCGGAGATTGAGGTTGCTGTGAGCCAGGCTGACGCCACGGCACTCACTCTAGCCTGGGCAACAAAGGGAGACTCTGTCTCAAAAAAAAAAAAAAAAAAAACTATTGCAGATATGACAGGTTTAAAATTTGTATCCAATCCAATAGGTACCGTGAATAAGTAGTCTAAAAAACTAGTACCTCTCCTTTGGTGGCAAGCCACTTGCAAAACTCTGAAGTGGTCTGAAAATGGTGCCTAGCAGGCAACTACAGTATGATAAAACAAAATCTTTACCATCAGTATGAAGACTTTGTCACCTGCTAGCTGTGTAACCCTAATTGGACAACCTTCTAAGCAGTTTTCTCATATATAAATTGAATTAGCATCATTACCCCACATAGTTACACTAAGTGCCTGACATGTAAAAGGTATTCCATAAGCAGGGTTAAATCTGAGCCTGAACTGAGATACACACACACACACAAGAGAGAACTCCCACATTCATGATGTTTTTCTACTAGCAACAAGTATCACCTAGTAATTATATACCATGTCCAAAATTCACACATAGATGGGGTAGATTTTGTTTGCATTTACCTGCTGCTGTCCTTGTTGAGCCTGTGGGGTGGTCTGTTGATTAGCAGAATTAGTTGCTGCAGCGGCTGCCGCAGCTTGCTGCTGGAAAAGACTGGCAGGGTAGACTCCCCAGGGAGTAACTCCATAATACTGGTGAGGGACCACAGCTGGGCCTGAAAATAGTAGGAGAAAGGAAAAGAAAGTTTAGACTATTAGGAATCATCCCAGGGCTCCCAAAGACTACATACACCTGGCTCAGCAGATCCTACTATAAAACATTAACTTAGTAATATATGCTAATGCTGGCTAATCATTAATTCTCTTTTTTTAAAATAGAAAATGTTAATATAAGATCCTTATGACAAAGTCATCTAAAGTCAGTAATATACTCTAGGCCTAGAGGAAGAAGCCTGTTAAAGATACTTGAAGGGAGAATAGCTGACAGAAGTTGTAAGGAGTTGGACTAAAGAACAGATGGAGGAATTAGCCTGGGAAAAATGCAAGGTTTCCCCCTGAGAAAGAAAGGATATAAGATAGATATAGACACAAATTGTTGCTAGAAGGGAAACAAATGTAGGGTTTGTGTGTTTAAAGTGATGGAACAGAAAAGGTTCAGATGTATCCTGTTTTCAATGGTAAGAATGGCACCTGAGGTGATTAATAGGTACTGGAATCCGGTGCTTCAGTAACTCCAGAAACATAAAAAATCTATCTGAATTCTGACAACAAAACCCAGATACTCAACTGAACCCTCAAATGCTCAATTTCAAAGAGGTCTAATTTTCCTATTTCTAAAGCCACAAAAGTCATTCACCCCATCTACATTCAGACATTGATTTTTGGAAATTTTAAATTTAAGTCAAAGTTAAACACACCAAAAAAACACAAAAAATGTAACACCTTGACTTGTTGAGTAAAACAGGTATACAGGTTGAGTATCCTTTATCTGAAAATCTTGGGACAAGAAGTGTTTTCAGATTTTGGAATACTTGCACATATATAAAAATAAGTTGGGGAAGGGACCTAAGTCTAAACACCAAATTCATCTATGTTTCATATACACCTTATACTCATAGCCTGAGGGCAACTGTATCTTTTCCCTTGGGGACACTATATAAATTGCATGGTGGGCACTTGCCATCATACGAGGTTTAGCACTTGATGCATCACATGAGGTCAAGTGTGAAATTTTCCATTTGTGGCATCATTTTTGTGCTCAAAAAGTTTCAGATTTTGGAGCATTTCATACTTTGGGTTTTCAGATTAGGGATGTTCAACCTGTAATAAGTGTTAGGAGTGTGGCCATACCTACCTTGAAAGGATGGGTTGCAACCTACACTGACAGTCCCCAAAGGCTCCCCCAAAAGCCAACAAAGAGAACCTCTACTGGGCACAGGCTACTACTACTATAAACATTTATATTACTTTAAATTTCCTCAACTGACATATCTACTACTTTAGCCTGGTCACCTGGACCTAAGATTGAATTTAGAAAAACACCCCAGGGTGATCAACTGAGCTTGGTTCATAAGGATGCCTGCTTCAATTCCTATGTGATTAACACCCTACAAAAATACACAGAGCCACAGTTTGGGTAGTTAACATTTCGTGTCATGTGTGAAAGCACTTGAGTCATTTTCAGTCTAGCTCAGCTGATGTGTACAAAAACCAAGATTCTCAATACCAAACTATCATCTCAGTGATGGCAAATGTGTCATCCCTAACACCAGTTCTTTGTTTCAAGTAACATATATTAAGTTAGTAGAGGGAAGGACTTCTAAACAAAGTACAGAAAACGACAATTCAAGATAAGATAGGCATTCTATATAATGTAGTGTGTAGTGCATGCATGGGTGCTGCAGTTAAATCTGGTTCACGTCTCAACTCTACAATATTTAAATTGTGTGAGCTCAAATAAGACAGCTATCTGAGCTCCAAATGTCTAATCTATAAATTCATCATTTGACAACAAATGTGAAAAGAAAAGCACCTGGGACAAAGCCTGACAAATAGTTAAGTGTTCAATAAATATTAATGGTGGTTAGCGGAGATCATTCTCCTAGGAAGAGCTTTCTATTTTCCCAAAGACGGAGAGGTGAGTCAGGGCAGGGGGAGAGGAACCTATATTAAATATGTTCCCACCACAACAATGCCAAAATGTAAATAATTCTAAATATCTAAGAAATGCTATGCTGAATTTGAGGTCATAATTGCAAACTATAGGCTATATAATAAGTGAAATCTCATAGAAATATTTAGTCATGATTAGCATGACTTGCTGGGATCTGCCCCCAAAGAATATTTACATTGAAAGACTTTTTTTTTGTCCTATTGTTGAATTCAATTCCCCATACATTTATGGCCCCACTATGGTGACAGCAACTGTGCCACACAGAATCAAGTAACAAACGTGCCTGCCTTGAAAGATTCGGTCTCAAAGAGGAAGAAAAAAAAGTCATGTATACATCCAAAAGCAAATAAAAACAACACTGTGATTAGTGATAGCAAAACAATACCAAATAGTTAGCAAGGAAGTCTTCCTAGGTGACAAAGCCAGCTAAGGAGCATCACAGGCAAACAATGGGAAAAAGGGTTTACCACAGAAGACAAAGGAGACCATAGTGTCCAAAAACAAAGGACTAAACCAATGCAGTATCTGCAGCAAACTAAAATCAGATCAGTATTGCTACAATGTATACTGCGAGCACACAGTAGTCAATTAGGAAGGGAATACAGTGGTGCATATATACAGACCTCTATGAGTGATGGAGAGAGAGAGCCCTATGTATAGTGGGTCCCAACCCTAGCTAAAACCTTAGAATTACCTGGCAGCTACTTAAAACTGCTAATTCCAAGAAACAGCACACCACCCCCCCAGTAGGTTGTAATGATCAGCCATGTTTGATAACAATGGAAGTATGACATCATTAGAATGGAAAAAAGAGAAACTAACAAGGCATTTAAGCAGAAGGGTGAAAGGGTAATAAGATCTGTGTTTGAAATCATTTTCTTAAACAATTTAGAAGGGTGGAGGAGGGGAAAGAGGCAAGGAAATCAGAAATACGTTAGGAACACCAGCATAAGAACCTGAACTATAGTAGACTACTACAGTTAGTAGGAGACCTGGGCAAGAGGAGAAATTTCCAAAATATAAATGAGCAACTAGTGGCTCCACGGATCGAAAATACCTACGTGCAAGGGACAGGTGACTAATTTGCCTTTGAACATGTTCAAATCTGAAGAGGCCTGTGTTACAGCTAAGGAGAGACATCCACTCTAGTACTATATCCACTCAGCAGAAATCTCCACTGGAAACATGGATTTGGGAAAGAGTATAAAGAATGCATGCCCATCTCAAATAACTTTTTAGCAGGTGAGAAATCCCTCATGCAGCAGAAATGTCTCACCTAGTGTCGCTGCTGCAGCCAATCCAGCTGTGTAGGGGTCCGTCCCTGGGGGAGCAGCGCTGATGATGTATGGATTGGGGACAAACGCAGCGGGAGCTAAACCTGCTGAAAACATACCTGTCAGTAAAAACAAACTTGACTAAAACTGCAGCCCTACCGAATACCTATACAATTTAACTATTTATTCCAAACTGTAGATGAGGAAAAAAAGAAAAGAGAAGATAGGATAGGTTGAGAACAAAGAATAATTTTAAAAAGATAAATAATCCCTATACTAAAGATTATGGTGAAATTTATGCATAGTCTTTTTTTTAATGACTAGTCAAGAAATACTTAAACTAAAACTGTTTATACAGTTTTAAATTCAGTACAACTTCTAAAAGACTAAAATTATAACAGGCTAAAATCGATCAATTTAAATGATTTTTGCAAATTGGGATGAAGAGAAGTTATTTATTACCATTTAAAACAATTTTGCAAACAGTTTTCCTCCAATAAAATGTATGAGTATTTACAGACTACCATCTACAACTATACAATATTACACCCAGGCAAAGGCCATTATGCTTGGCCTTAATTTATCTAGGTTAGAAGCAAGTTTTTTCTTCCACAGCATACCACTTCCAAGACTGGCAATCTCCTTTCTACTCAATCATGCCATTTCAGCACATTAAAAAAGAAAAAAAAAAAAAATTCTACTTCCACTTGTTTATACTTAATACACTTTTTTTCAAAGAGACCTTAAGAAGGTCCAGGGGAGAAAGGTCCAGGCAGAAGAGTAAAATATCTGTCAAAACTTTAACAACAGCTACAGCAAAAGAGCAAAGTTACTTAAAATCCAGTAATTATATGTGAACACTTTTTAGATTTTTCAATGCATACTGCTTGGAAAATAGATTTATAGGTACTACTTGCTCATTGTAAGATGAGAAGTTGATGTATTAAGTCTATACAACCCCAAATTATTTCATCAATTTCATCCAAATCTTACCCAAAGAGCTGTTAGTTACTACTATATGTAGTAAATACTTTAAATTTTGAAACAGCTGAGGTAGGTCAATGGCTGAATACTAAGGAAATTATATGAGCTCAGGTCTAGACGGTATGTCAAAAATAAAGAATGTCAACTAGAGACAACTGGACAAGAGGCAGAGGGCATTTCTGGACTTTTATAACTGGTCTAAATTACTGGGTTTCACAGCATCCAGTTAGCCTAAAACAGTGGCCACACCTATAACAGAAGAGCTACAGGTTTAAGGACTTACCAATATGCGGCTGGTGAGCAGCTGCTAGTGCATACTGCTGCTGCTGGGCAGCTGTCAACTGCTGGACAGCAAGCGCGTTAGGTCTTTGGAACAGCTGAGGTAAGAGGAAAGACATAGTGTGGTTAGGAAAACTGTCTCCTGAAATAACGTTAAAACCTGTCTGACTAAAAATTTCAATAAACTCTTGTTTAGGCATGATACTTTAACAAAAATTAGTGTTCTCATACTCTCCTGCATTCCCATGGGATCACAATGCTTCATAGTTCTGTTTTCCCTCTCTTTACCTCAATTGTGCACCAAGTTCCCATGGGCTGAACGTTTCACAAGTGACATGTCCCCTGAACCACACGCATACATATTTATATGCAAAAGCCCTAATAGTTATCAACAGGTCCTGCCTGATCCAAGACACACTTAAAAATTAGACAAATGTACTACAAACAAAATGATATGCCACATTGCTCCCAGTGTTAAATCTTCCTTCAAGTCTTTCAAGATTCCACAAATATTTTGAATTAATCCTCACCTACTCACATGTTGGAGAATATGAAAAGTGTTCACTTTATCCTCTAGGCTACCTCTCCTGGGAAATTAGTATTGGATACTCTACTCAACTAGTGGCTTATCCTGATGAGTATATGAGCCAACTGCCCAACTTTCAGAGTCTCTTAGAATACCTATTCTTTGTATGTAGAAAATAAAACAAGTATAGCTGCTACTAACAAAACTTGGATTGTGAGCTCATAGCTGGCACATTTCTTAGTTCCCAAGAAAAGGGAAAAAATTCAAAGGCCTTAAAACTAAGAATGTCTCAAGATTCTACATTAATAAAGTCAATCATTCACGCATTCATTCGACAAATATTATGAAACAAATGATACTTGCTAGGCACTGTGCAAGGAACTAGGGATACAATAGTGAATAAAACAATACATAATCCCTGCCCTTATGGAGATTATACTTTAGCATGAACAGTACTGGTACAAAGAAAGGGGATGCTGCTGGTAACCTGATTTTAGATAGCCTTGATTGGCCTTCTTATAAGGAGTCATACTGAAGACTTCAGTATTTGCTGAAATCAGACTAAAAGCACTTACTGAAGGAACCTCCCTGGACAGGACCTTCAACCTACCTGCTCTTTCTACAGGATTTTTCAATAGCTCAGCTGACATCACTGGATGATGTATAACAGATACCATGGATCTTGAATTACAGATGTCCTCATAAAGAGACCTGATTGTTTCAGACATTAGGAGATACTGTCATTCCACCAACTCAGCTTAATTATTGTCATGACTGGACTTAACGTTATCCCCGGTGGTGGAGAGACTTATCCTGTGATCTGGCTACCTCTATGCCTCAAATGTTATCAGGAGGCTAGTTTTAAATAACAAAAAGTGAATACCGAGAACATATTGGCTGACTTTACCTATTAGCTCTCTTTTTATATATATGCCTCTTTCTAAAAACCAGAGTAGGCTGGGCATGGTGGCTCACGCTTGTAATCCTAGCTCTCTGGGAGGCCAAGGTGGGAGGATCGCTCAAGGTCAGGAGTTCGAAACCAGCCTGAGCAAGAGCAAGACCCCGTCTCTACTAAAAACAGAAAGAAATTAATTGGACAACTCAAAATATACAGAAAATATTAGCTGGGCATGGTGGTGCATGCCTGTAGTCCCAGCTACTGGGGAGGCTGAGGCAGAAGGATCACTTAAGCCCAGGAGTTTGAGGTTGCCGTGAGCTAGGCTGACGCCATGGCACTCTAGCCCAGGCAACAGAGTGAGACTTAAAAAAAAAAAAAAACCCAGAGTAAAATTAGTCCTTGCTTTTATAGTACTAATGTCAAAAGTAATTATGTACAGATTTCAAAATTACTTGTTTTATATTTTGAAAGGTTAAGAAAAACTTCGTTATGATGCTGGTAAAAAAGGGAAAAGACAGCACTGCTTTATAGGCATTCATAAAATATCAAATCTTAAAAAGAAATAGAGAAACTGAATCTGACGAACATATCAGAATACATGTCCACTCCAGTCACTACTACTTAGTACCTACAACCTTGTGGTTTTTGTTAACATTTAAGTTTTTCCTTAAAAAAAAAACAGTGTCACACCATATGCCTACCAACAGGAGGCAGTCCACTCAAGAGGTGCAGCCAGGAGGCAGAAAACAACTAAAACTGTAGAAAGTTGACTTGAAATTATTTCCAAGGTTGTAAAAACAACTCATAGTTCCACTAAATATCTAATGTCTCTTCAGTGGGTCTCTGGAATGATCCTGGCATAAAACCTTTTGAAGCATTTAACATCATCTCAGACACTGCTTATGCTACCTTCCTTCTATCCCTCTTTGCCCTGCTGCAAACAAAATATTCGATTCAACAAACATTTTTTGACCACCTATTATTAGTTTGGCACTGTGATATGGAGCTGGGGAAATAAAGATGGTGTGTTCAGAATATAACTCTTAAGGATATCTTAACCAAAAACAAGAGTCTGATGCCATTCCATCTGACTTTCATAATATGTGTGCTATATCTGTAAATGTATTAAATACACAGTGTGTGTGAATATCATACAAGTAACCATTCCATCTAACATTAGCTTGTGGTTATCATCATGTTACCACATTTTTAAAGTAAGGACTGTTACTTTTAACTAAAAGCACACAGCCCTATAAGAGTCCACATATAGCTGATGTTTGAGAGCTGATTAATATTTTAGTGATCATGGTGAATAAAAAAGTATTTTCTTGAGAACAGTCTGCAGTAAACAATTTAACAAAGTAAATTATGCATCTACAGCAGGCAGATTTGATTATAGAACAGATTACAGCAATTCTGGCACATTCTCTTTATGTAAATGGTACAATATTAACTGGAAATACAGAGTATTCAAAACAAAATTGGATAATTGGCAAGTGATGGATTCAAAGAATCCTGAAAAACTCACACAAATGCCATCTGCTGGGCAAAGTGCTGAGCTCTGTTAACATTTTCATGGTTTTCACAAAATAAGTCAACACTCCGTAACTGAGAAACAAAATACCGTAAGAGTTGGGGGAGATGATTATTTAAAGGTTGGTATAATGATGCACGTGCCACTGTCGATCACGATTCTCCAGGTAGAATTCATAAGTTGTTCAAGAGTCTGAATGAGGGGGGAATATATCAGCTACTTCAGGCACATCTAGGTTTCTACTAAATAATGAAGGCATAATTAACGAGTTTTTTTTTTTTACTCCCTTCTATATCATTTACTACATAAGCATATAAAAGAAACCCTACACCTGAGGTCCACAAAGCCAGGGCTGAGGCCCAGTACCAGTCCATGGCAAGTAATGGGCCACTGGTCACTGCATGAGCTCCTTATCACCCTCCCCCCATCCATGTGACCCCACTCCCCCAACCTCAGTCTGTAGAAAAATTGTCTTCCATAAAACTGGTCCCTGGTGCTAATAAGGTTGGGGACCACTGCCCTACAAGATTCTTTTTCCAGAAAGGAATTTGGCCAAAAACACCCAACACAGTGACTGACATGCAGCTGATATCTTATAAAAGATAGCTACTACTATTATTACTGTTGTTATAACTGTTGGCATAAAAGCACTGTTGAACAATTTCCTGAATCTGGAGAAATAACGCCTAAATATGAAGTTAGCAAATGTGAATGACTATCCTTCTTCACCTCCCAATAAAATACACTGCCAGCCCAGACTTTTCACCAGTTTAAGGAAATATACATAGTAGACAGGGGGTAGGAGCACAAACTGAAAAGGCCAGGCTGCTTTGGCTCAAATCTTAATGCTACCACTGACTTCCTCTGTGACCTGATACAAGTGACAATCTCTCTGTGCCTCATTTTCCTCCTCTCTGTAACAACACAATAAAGATATATGTAACACAAAGTTGTTATGGGAATTAAAATTAACACACATAAAGCACTTACAACAGCCCTTTATGAAATATTCTTTCTGATAAATGGCAACAGTGCCCTTGCGCACATAGCCCCTTCTGTGAGTCACCCCTTACAGTTCCTCCCCCCACGCCCCCAGCAAGGCAGCCCAAGCACACCAATAGCAGAGGGCAGGATTCTTCTAAGTCTGTGTTAGGAGTCAAAACCTCACCGTACCAGGAGCACTAATTGCTATCAGCAGGTCACAAAGATAACAGGGAAGGAAGAAAACCATTTTGTTTTTGTTGATGATGAGTACTTTTTACATTATACTGCTTTCCCAAAAAGGCTATAAATATAATTGAATTTGAAGATAAGATAACTCCACATATCAAAACTTGTAATCCTAGCACTCTGAGAGGCCGAGGCGGGTGGACTGTTTGGGCTCAGGAGTTCAAAACCAGCCTGAGCAAAAGTGAGATCCCATCTCTACTAAAAATAGAAAGAAATTAATTGGCCAACTAAAAATATATTTAAAAAATTAGCCGGGCATGGTGGCGCATGCCTGTAGTCCCAGCTACTCAGGAGTCTGAGGCAGGAGGATCGCTTGAGCCCAGAAGTTTCAGGTTGCTCTGAGCTAGGCTGACACCATGGCACTCTAGCCCAGGCAACAGTGTGAGACTCTGGCTGAAAAAAGGGGGGAGGAGGGCTCTCTCTTTCTAGTACAAGGTCCAAAGGAAACAAGTTGGAGCTAGAAACCAAAATAATAGATATATTCATAGCTTGTACAACATGATCTTTAGCAAGTCTGTAAACTTCACTGTGTCTTAATTTTCTTATGTGTAAAAATAAAATAGCTGCGCTACCTCATGGAGTTGTTGTCAGGATTAACAGAGGAAAATCCCTTCAAAACACCATTATATCAATGGTGGGATTATAAAATTTTAAGAATTTGGAATTTGGAGTCATTTCTCAGTACATTAGATTTGTGAAAGCTTGGTAGTACTATTTGAAGCTTCCAGATCAAAGTCCAATTTTCACAGGGTTATGTGAACAACTGTAATGATTAGCTAATGATTATAATCATTTTTGGTTTAACAGACACATATAAACCATGCTAAATTTAAAAAAATCTTCACATTTCTTTGGAAGATGAAGAATCTGATTCTAAAATAAATGATTTCTAACTAAGGTCTTAGGGAAA